AAAAGAGTTTGTAAATAGTTAATAGTTTCGGTTTCTTTAAAGTGTTTCCTAATGCTATCAGAGTCTCATGGGTCACATTGCTTATACCAGTATACAGTCAATGCGTTATTGTTTTCTCTCTGATTCTGTTTATTTCCCACAAGAGGATTCTGTGCATTAGGCAGCACCACAATGGAATAGGCATAGCTCAGTAGTTCAGAATACAACATATACTGATTTTGGGACATCTGTCTTCAAAAAGAGGACTGCAGTAATAGGAAATATTGTGATGAACTATCCAGATCAATCAATTTATACATTTCTAATCTGTCCCAATTGTCATACTAAAACTAAAATACAATATAATGAAATACTTACTAAACAGTAAATGTAGAAAATATATAGCTTTAACAGTTGTGGAGTAGTCAGTGACAATGTGCATTTGTTGCCCGGATTTGAGACAGTTAGTATAGACAAGAAGTAAGTATATTCAGTTAATTTTGAAGAGTGTGGTGGAATGCAGCAGAAAAAGCAGGCTCTATGTTTGTAACATGCATGTGATTTGGGGCTTGGTCAATATTATCACCTTCAATTAAGTCTGAAACACAACAGGAAAAAATATAGATGCTGGAGCACTGATGCAATATGGCCCCACTGATCCACAGCCATTGGGAAGCATGCCAATATGTTCCATTCTGACATTCTCAAGCAGTCTACTACTGCAACACAATTAGAGTAAGTCAAGTAATCTAAACATAAAATGATGACGTTTAGAGAGTTTGCTGTTCCTGAATTAAACCAGCATGGTTGCTTCCTTTGTATCGGATAAACCTGGGAAATACTACTTATGATCATCACTGTTATGGCCAGGTTTCTTAGGTTCACTGACTATCAAAGAAACATCCTTCAGCCCTAATTCTGACATTACACCAAACCATAGTTCATGCTGTTGTTGTTGTTGTTGTTGTTGTTGTTGTTGTTGTTGTTGTTGTTGTTGTTATTATTATTATTATTATTATTATTATTAAAAACCCACATTATGGTCTGCATTTCTAAGTTTACAACAGGAATGTCATAGTTTAGGCAATGCTCATTTCTTTTCATTTTTCATCTAATTCAAATGCTTGCAATCGAACTCCTATATCCATCTACAACTGCCCCATGAAAGGGAACAATGCAGTTTGTCAGTGGTTTGTGAAACAGGCATAACAACTATTCCTGAAAATGCAGGTGGAATAGGATATGAAACAGTGGGACACAGATGATGCTTGCAGGAGCTCTTGCAAACACCAGCTGATTGAGAAGCATTTTGTGTACCCCATGGAAATCCCCCTTATTATCTCCAATTTGTGACTGGAGATAACAAGAGAATTAATTCCTTTCTCCACCTTTGCCCCAAACCCCAGTAGCCTGTAGGGCAGGGATCGGGATTTAGAACAGTGGACAAAGCCTATGAAGGGAGTCCAAGGATCCAAAGGCCGGACAGGGGATGTATGTTCCCTACTTCTGATTTAAACAGTAGCCATGGCTGCACTGATATTACTGCAATACTTCAGTGAAGTAAATATGTAAAATATTAGGACTGATATATAAACATCCAGGGCATACAAGAGCCAAGGAATAAATATCTATCTTTCGTACTTTATTTACTAATGTTGGGAACGAGATGGGTTGTTGTTCTTGGGGCACATTTGCAGGTCATGACCATGTAGGCTTGGCAGAGGAGGAAGAGGGGGGCTGGGACACTGGAGCACCAGGCATTGAGATGGGAGAAGCAGAAGAACTTATCTCAAGACCACCTTTCCCAAGTGCTCCGACAGGCTCCGAGAATGACCAAGAAGTACAGCTGTCAGGTGGGGGCATGGGAAAGGAGTTCTCCGAGTCAGACGAAACTGGTGTAACTCTTCACCTCATGACATGGCATCAGGACAGAAGTCCAAGTAGAGAGACAGCATATAGAGACAAGGAGAGCCTGCCTCCAAGGAGGCCCTCCAGGAGGAACGGGTCCAGACTTACTCAAAAGGATTCTTGGAAGTTGATGCTAGATTGGATTCAACAAACCACTCTGCATGCTCAGAGACTCATCCTTGCTTGGTTGTGCTTACTGGAAGAGCACTGGAGACTAAAGAGCTTTTGGTCAAATAATGAACTATTGTTTTGGAAGTGTGAAGAGGGAAACCTAGCTCACAATAACTAAAGGATATCTGTTGTAGCTACAGCAAATCCTAGGTGCTGCAAAGCATCCCCGAGGGCAGGTATATGCATCATACTTCCTCTCAATATCTTGCATATATAACTTATGAATGCCTTATAAAAGTAGTGCTATCACTTCCTTCCACTGTGACAGACACAAATGGCTTTTTATTACCTTGCTAAGTAGCTTGTATATGCATATCATGAACTGTAGCATACTTTCAAAGAACTGTCACTAGAGATTATTGTGTTTCTTTAGTAGCAAAAACACAGCCACTGAAGCAACTATATAAGGAAAGGTTTAGAAGGTTCATCAGCTCAAATCTACAAGAATTGATGTTTCCTACTAGCATTTCACCACAGGTAAACCAGGACATGGCTCTGCAACGTGCCCTCAGCAAGCCATACTTTATCTACCATGTCAGACTGTTCTAAATTTGCAAATTCACGTGCATACTACTAATGTCGAAGGGGTTAGAGGCATGGGAAGGGAGTTGTGGAAAGCTAATATTTAAAGTTACTTCCCTCCATGTGACAGATTATGTAAGTTTTAAATAGAGTTTATTCTACTGGAATTCTCTGTGTAGTTCACATCTAAGAGAATGATCTAGTTTCATGTCATTAAAAGAAAAAATAATGTCTAAATTACAGAGTTATTAGCTTTCAAAAATGCACTTAAATTTTTGATTCATGGATTAACAAGAACTATCGGAAACCGCAAGAACTGTTTTGCCCTAATGGATCATAGAAAGAGGGATTTATTTAGACTAAATTTTGAGACTTCCCCCGCCATCACGTTCGCTTCACTCCTGACTACTGCATCTCAGGCTTCAGCCAAGAGTGAATTTTTATAGGAGTTTTAGAAGAAAATCAGGATTGAAATGGAACTGCTGACAGATTACTTTTTATACTGGCAATGTTGTTTTAGCTTTAATGATACCAATCCAACTTCAGAAAAATATTTTAACCAAGATTGTGATCTGAATGTGAGTACTTGGAAATAGGCTTAATTGAAACCAACAGGACTTACTTCCAAATAAATGTGCCAGTCAATGATCTTCAGTTAGTTATAAGAAACTTTTATGCTGAACAATGCATATATCAACTGGGCATGGTGTGGTATGTGTAATGTGTCAAAAGGCTGAAACACTTACCTGGTTCCCACAATCACCACAGTCCACAATGGCTTATTCATTTAAGCCTCAGTGCATTACAATGTATACTGATTGCTTTTTAAACACTGAAGCCACAACCATGCATTGTTTCTGCCTTGCAAAACCAGCCAGGGTATGTTACCAGCAGAATTAACTACCCAAAACCCATGGGCTTTTTAGGGCTTGAGTATGGTTTGTCTACTAGGCCAACAAAACACAAGGTATTACTGTCAAAGCTTGAATATTCAAAAGCCACCCAACATGTGTTGGTATGTGGTGCAACCACCATGGCTTAAATAAACCATGGTGAATTGCAGAGATAGTGCAAACAGGCCTAGTGACTGGAATCTAGAGAAGCATGTGAGTGCCAGTGTGTGGAACACAACCTTGTGGTCCTTCTGCTTCCAACACAATAGCCCTACAGAAGGTTTTGCTACTCAGGGACATTTCAAGAGGGGCTTATGAAGCCAGCATGCTTATTACTAATGCTTACTGCACATTAGAGGTGGACATATCAGTCTCTATCTGGTTTTCAGTCATGAATCCATTCGCGCACAAATCCTTTCTGTCCTATTTCTGCAATATTCTAAAGATTTTTTAAAAACACATAAAATCACATTTACTTTCATATGAATTGTTTCCTAACATACACATTTTGAAAGCATCTTCTCTATCTATGCGTACGCATAACCTCTTTCAGTCAAGAACTGAATCACAAAATTCGAGAGTATGCAGTCTGAGGGCTAACGGTGTTCTACTCCATATGTTAGTCAAAAAAGTATGCTTCAACACGCAGGCCAAATGAAATTCTATCCCACCCCTCCTGTAGGCATAAAGTTTCTTCAGCATGCATCAATGGAATATCTGGATCATAGCAAACATACATTCAAACAATACTGATTTAATTTCTAATGTTCTGGAAGCATGCGTTAAACATTATGCCACAACACGGCATGTCTCTCTTGTTTCTGGATATCCATGAGGGCAAAACAATTTATAAAGCAGATGTCAAATCATCCAGCTCAACAACACTGAGTCCCTCAATAATTTTGGTAAGATTTCTACGAAGATAGCTGTGCTGTATTGCAATGTCCCGCATATAAACAGCAAATTCACTTTCAGAGTGCCTATCCTCATATAGCAAAAGTGGCTTCAGCCACACACAAAAGAGAGGTACCGTAAGATACGAGGGAATGCTAAGGTTTTTAAAAAACCCAATTATTAACAAAAACATTAAGGCAGAGGGAGCATAAAATAGCAATAAAGACAGAACATGCAATCTGTTTGTTGGGTAGGAAAGGAAAATGGGGGGGTGAAAAATGCAAAGAACTGAATCAATATGCAAGTTAGGATCTGTTCACCAACTCGCAAGACACATCCTATTTAATCCTTCTTGCACAACCATGGTGTTGCTTTGCATTATTCTACAGAATGTCAGCTGATCCATTCCAGCAATAGACCAGAAAATGAGCTTGATGTTTCACTTTACATTTGCCCCATCCACTATATCAGCAATTTCAACTTTTAATCTTCCCAAAAAGGGGGAACTATTTTAAATATGAGTCTTATGAAAATTTAAGATACAGCAACATAATAATAAAGTAGTTCTCTAGGGTGTCTTTTATGCATGAAGGAAAAAACTTAATTACTATTAAAAGAAGATCTCATGCTTACCTTATTTTGACAGATCTGGTGAACTGATCTAGAATGAACATCGGCTATCACTGCAGCACTACAGCCCACATTGAGGTCAAAGACTTCTAGTGCTCGGTTGCTACCAGCTGCCAGTACAATATCTGTTATCTCAGTAAGTTAAAGTTCTGTTAAATCAATTGCATATAACTGTTGTTACAGCAGCAGCACACACATTTGTATGGGGAAATTTACACTACATTGAAATAACCCAAATTTGCCTAATTTGCTTCAAAAGACATATTCTAACTAAGACAGGATCAGAAAACACAGAGAATGAGATTAATATTCATAACCAGTAGCAGGCAGTGAACCCATTGGCTTGGAAAAGTACAGGCATCACAGCCTGATGATCAAGTGAGCTGTGGCTTTTTTGCTCTTGTCTTTAGGTACAAGGAAGAAGTGGTGGTGGCACAGGGCGCCACAGGTGACATGCTACAAGCATACAGTGGCTCAGTCGATGGTCACTTTGAGGACATCCGCAGCCTATTCTTGCATCCAGGCAACCATCCACTCAACAGCCATGTGCTTGCACAATGCTGACTGCACCCTACAGTTTCATCACTGCCTCCTAGTACCTAAAGAAAGAACCCTCTCCTCCTTATGTTCACAGTGAGGAGTGATTTGCCAGCAGACCACCTCACTGGTAAAAAGAACACCTATAACTAATTTGTATAATTGTAATACTTATTCCCAGATTTAATCATTTTGCATCATTAATCATTTTGCAATCATTTTGCGACATGACAATGAATACCAGCATATTGATGCTGGTGATGTGTCTTTTTATGCTAAGATTAATTTTACTGCTATCCTTACACTTAAGAATTGTGGTTACCTAAGGAATAAAGGCCAATTGTCTCAAATCAAATGCTTCCAACTGAATTGTTGAACTCAGATAATAATTGACAAAAGGATACAAGAATAGAATTCATTTACTGCTGAAAGGCTGGTAATTTCCACTGTAGATTCCATAGGAAATTTCTGTATTGATTTGCAAATACACTTTGTTCTGTATCTGCAAAAACAATATGAATTACATCAATAATCAAAAATAAAGAAAAATCAAAGCATTATGTAACTTATTCCTACAATTTCTTGATATCAGAGTAAAGGTAACATATAAATATTTTTCTACGTAAGAATATGGTTAGAAAATTCCTATCTACTGTTGATGAAGATATTCATGAAGCATATTCATTGCTCTCCACTGCAAAACTAGTTAAAACAACTACTTACATAAAACATAAATCCAACTTTAGCTAAAATGGCACCATAAGCTGTCCACCATGCCTTACTATCTCTTCATGTTTGCTTTAAAATAGTATTAATACTGGCTTTGCTTTCCTACCTCTGTATCTTTTTGTTTTATTTTTCACTAGACTGTGGTGCTACAGTTGTTTGATAACTGCTTGAAGCCTGTGAGGAGTTATATCTCCAGGAATCTAGGAGTCTATTCCTAGGAGTCGAAGGAGTGTTTAACTATGAAAGCTACTACATCCAAGAAACTTCTCCCAATTCTACCTCTGCCACCTCCTGCTAAGGTCTCTGAAATTAGCATGGAAGGTGGGAGGAGATTAAACTCTTGCTTTGTAAATATCTAAATAGTCCAAGAGGATGGAACAGCTTCAAGATTTAATTAAACTACCATAAAGGTCTGTGGATTTTAGTGATGGTTGTATTAAGGCAATGGAGAGCAGAGTCATGAGTTTGGAAGATACGGTTGCTACTCATGAGTCTGCAGTGCCTGCCTCTCACAACACATTCTCCACTCATGTTTCACTTTTGGAAGCTTCTTCTCAGAGAGCCAATGTGAGAGTACTTGGTTTGCATGAGCAGTCCCCGGGGGTAAGTTTCCATCTTGATATTAAATAGGCTTACTGTATTCCTGATCCTACCCAGGGAGAAAGAGCAAGACCCAGTATTGCCAAATAGCGGCATAAATTCACTTGAAGACAAAAGAGAGCCCTTCAGTGCTGTCTAGGTAACTGTAGAAAGGAAACCCAGCTCTCACACATCACAGTCTGCTCAGATATATTGTCCAAATCTGAGAAGGCGGAGGGAGATGGCTTTGCAATTTCAAGGGAACCAAGTGAAAGATACCGAGACAGAGAACCAGCTCCCTTGGAAAAGGAGGGAGTCATTTCAGAATTTGAGGAGAAATGCAGGGGGAATTCCTTGTCAGGAGACCATGTGCAAAGCAAGTGGAACAATGAGATTCCTGCCATCTAGCCCTCAAGCAGCAGGGGTCACCCTGAGGATGAAGTCAGAATCTTTCTGAAATGGAGGAAAGGAGGGGATGTTTCTGTTTGGATTCAACTTTTCTCCCACATTTCAAAGAGAAAGTTACTCTGATTAATGCTGTTTCGTAATTTGTTAAGCTCTAATAAAAGAACTGTGCTTCTAAATCTCATCTGAGCCTGCTGGAGAAGGGATAAGTTGTCAGGGGAGAGACCTTCTCCCAACAACAAGGATAAAATCATGATTTATCCAGATTTCTCAAAAAAAAATGATAAAAGAAGATCATTTCAAAAAGTATAAAGCATGGTCAGATCTCTCACTCTGAAATTTTGTACAATTTTTCTCATCATACTTGCACTAGACTTTCAGGACAAAATGAAGAAATCCCAACCAGAGCTTGTGAGATTCAAGCTACCTATCCTGCTCAGAAGCTCCTTCAAATCTTACAGCCTCTGCTACAGCTCCTGTTTACCTTCACTTCCCTCTTTTTAGAAATTGATTGGAAGCTGCTGGGCATTCAGCCATGGTTTACATACTTCGAACAGATAAAGCTCTAGGCATTTTTCATGTCTGTCTTCCTTCACTATTACTAATTTTTGTTCCTTCTCTCTCTTGCTCTCCCCCTCTCCCCCCCCCCCCCGGTTTAATTAGACGATGTTAAGGTAAATTAATGGTCTTAATAATCAGTGATATAACCAAGGATTCAGTAGGGTTGGACTGTGACAATGTTGTCTTGCTGGGAGCCAAAACGTTTTTTTTTTTTTGCTCTGATTTGCTTTACTGGCTTTGACTTTTTTCCCCTTTTGGGCAGGTTTCATTTACTAGCTTTTTCTTTTACACTGTGGGGTTCTAGGTTTGTTTTTTTCATAAGACTGTATTTTTTTCATAGGACTGTAGGGCGCAATGGTGACAATATGAAATGCATTGTATCCAAATATACTATAGCTTGAATTATTTTAAAATGGATTTTTTTGTAGAAAGGCCAAGATTTATATGTGTACAAGGGCAAATAGTAATTCCATGTTTAAAGTAACTTCTTGCAATGTCAAAATTCCAGAGTCCAATTAAATGGTAGAAAGTGCTAATAAAATTAAAGGAATATGGAAATGATGTGGTGTTTTTGCAGGAAACACATCTGATGTAGACAAATACACATCAGCTGACAAAAGAATGAGTAGAAGAGATTTCTGCAATGGATACTTTGACCAGGTTTGAGAGGATAATGCTTTTAATTCATAAACAATTTTTGCTTTCAGTTCAACAAATCATAATTGATCCTGGTTGTTGGTTTCTGATTCTGACTGGAAAACATAGTAAGTAATGCTTCTGATGAATGTGTATGAGTCAGAGAGATGTATATCATCTGTCCACCATGATCCAAGTTAGGAGCATTAATTTTTTTGGTTTCCACAGCCATGTTATGTCAAATCAGGCTGTAAGACTGAGATAGTAGTAATATCAAGCTATGTCCGTTTGGTTGGATTTGCTGCTCAAAAATAGTCATTTTCAAGTTTCCTATTCCTTAGACTTTATTGGTTGTAAAACTCGATTTGTGAATCTGGTTCTATTTCATCAGCACTGAATAATACAAGTATTACAGTAATTCCTAGCCCAGAAGAGATCACACCCTCTCTGCTAATTATTAAACTATTTCATCACCTAATGTTGATATTAAAATAATAACTGGAATTTTGGCTGACAGACTACAACAAATTATTATAACATTAGTTCAACTAGAACAGGTTGGATTAATTAAAAAAATGGCAAGGGTTAGACTGATTGCTGATCTAACTGCATTAAACATAGAACAGATACAGCTGCCATTATCTTTCTGGGTGTGGAGAAGCCCTTGTATAAAATTTATTGGAAATGTGTTGTTGCAACATTGAGAAATTTTGGGTTTCCTCCAGAATTCCTGAATGTGTTATATAAAACTCTGAGAGTCAGAGTTAAGACCAATGAAGATTTGTCTGAAATTTTTTCATCTTGAGAAAGGTACTAAAAGAAATGTCTTCTTGCCCATTGATATTTGATTTATGCTTGGAACCCCTGGCATGTGCTATCAAACAAAACCCTGATATCCATGGATTTGTGCATAATGTGTTAGAATATAAACTTATTCTTTATTCTGATGCTCTTCCAATGTTTATTTCAGAACTCCAGCCGTCAGTTCCAGCCTTGATACAGATTATTGTCGATTCCAAACAGTTCCCTGGTTATTCTATTAACCTGATTATAATTGTTTGCCATTCTCTGTTTTGCAGGCTCACTATAAATTGTCTGCTATGGTTGCATGGCAATACATGCAATTGAAACATTTGTAAGAATCTAGGTTTGGCCCCACTGCATGTACAGCTTCAGAGCCACTTTTATTATTAGAAGTATAAACTGAAGCTGAAAAACTAGATCATCCTACAATTTATATATATGTATATAAATTTATATTTATGTATTTTATAAATACTTAATATCAGTGAATAATGTTGGTGAATAAATGGGATGCACAGGGACTCAAGCAAGAATAGAATAATGAATTGCAGCAGCCCATATTGCCCAACCAATGCAGTGCTTCACTATTATCTATTTCACAAGGGACTATGGATCTCAAGTTATGTTTAATACAACAAAAATTGATGTTTCACGTATATTGGATGAAGCAAGGTCTCTTTAATAAAGTTTAATAACATTGGCCAATTGTTGGAGGTATAAAGCTACTAATGCTTCTCCTCTCCATATGCTTTGGTGATACCCAATAGCCCTTTCTTTTTGGGAGGAGGTAGTAATTCAGACTGGAAGCAGAAATAACAAAATTGAAGATGTTGTACTTTGGATGCATCATGAGAAGGAAAGACTCACTGGAGAAGATAATCATGCTAGGAAAGTTGAAGGCAGGGGAGGAAGAGGAGGAGGGTGACAACGATGACCAAATATGAGATGAATCAATTCCACAAAAGAAGGAACAGCTGTGAGTTTACAAGAACTTTGCAGCATTGTTAAGGACATTTTGGAGGGCATTCACTCATAGCGTTGCCGTAAGTCAGAGGCAACTTGACATGTGACAATAACAACAAATCATTCAAATAAATCTTGTGATGGGAAGTTCTTTAACATTTAAGGATACACATGCTCTTTTGAATTACCTACCCATCTCTTGGCATCTAATACAAGGTCAACATAAATGGATCTTCCACACCCTTTTGACAGTTAAAAGACTAACAATACAACATTGGATGGATAAACGGCCACCTGTAATAACACAATGGGTGGAGGATTTAATAAAACTTATGATTTTTGAACAGGTGGCCTTTAGGTGTAATTTACAAATGGATAAATATATGGATATGATTTAACCTGACTTGAGATCCTTGAAAAAATAAAAGGCATGATATAAATATAATAAGTAAATAAAATAAATATTTGGGGTGACTTTGTTGAAGCATTTGCACAACATACTAACATATAGGGATAACATATATACAACCAGTACTATGGTTCTTTTTCCCCCTTAAATACTATTCAAATACTTTTTTTCTTTTTTCCCCCTTTACTTTTTTTATGGAAAAAATATTAAAAACACAAAAAGAGATTCACAATATAACCAAAACTAACACTAAAATCAGCACCAGCTATAATCAGCACAATAAATAAAAATAAAAATCAACACTCTAAAAGCAATATAAAATGATCAGTATGCAATTAGGCACTTCCACTCCTGATTCCTTTCCAACCCATTGATTGCTTTCTGCAAACAGTGGGTCCTACCAATGCTGTCAAGAGATGAATGCGTACCAATAGAGATACCGAGTCCCTTTCCCTAGCTATTCCACTAGTATTTGCACTATCACTAGCAGAACAGGCAACCTCTAGCAGAACAATAACATATCTTCTGCTTTTCTGTTAGTATTATGCTGGATCCAATCATGTGTTTTACCTACCTTTTCACTTCATCTTTGCTGGTGTCAAGATAGTAACTTAACAAGTAAAACTCTGCACCGCATGATAGTAAAATAAATGCATCTATGTAATAGAACTGGGCTGAGCGGATAGCCTTTTGAAATATTTCCTTTCCCTGAAATTAAAAATATACAATTAAAATTATATACTATATTACTTTCATTTGCAAAACACAATAGTAAAATACCAGGAACACTGTATTGATTCTGAAACACATGACTGAACAAATAAAAAATTTTATTTTTGTAAACACAATTCTTTCATTTTTAATTGAAATTCGGATTGTATTTCTCCTAGTGCAAATGTGGAATTAGAATACATGACTGATAACAGAAAATGTGAAAAGTGTGGTATTTGCAGTTGATAGCTAGTCATTAGCAAACTTAAGACCACAGCTCATCTCTGACTGAACATCAAGAGAGCAGTCTTATAGGCCTGGGAGAATGTACAGGGACCATAGGAGTCTTTGATTCCCCACCACCACCACCATGAGGCACTGCCACAACCTTGGAAGAGGGATTTTGCTATCCAGTTCCTCCTGCTTGCTGCCACGATGGAAAGAACCATGCTGACTGCTTTTTCAAAACTGCAAAAGAGAGGTCGCTAAGGGGCTGCTTCAGTTGGCAGAGAGGAAAGAGAAGAGGCCAGAATACGAGGAACCTGATGGCCTCACCAGCCCCAATTCTGCTTCCACTAGCATGCCCGCTCCAGATGGGCTCAGAGGCCCATTTAGTAACAAAACAAAATGCAGAGGGCACAAAAATAATCTCTGTTGCTCTTCTGCTTTTCTAGCAGCTGCTCAGCATGGCATTGGGTTCACAAAAGCCCTTGTGTTTTGAAGATTCTGTCTCACAACAGCTTAAGTTTACACAATGCAAACTGGAAACACGGGGAATGCGGTTAGCAGTGTTTCACCACTCAATATAATGAACCAAGAACCAATGTAATCTATCTTTCCACGGTTCCCTGAGTCTACAGCAAAGTATCCAGGTCTTACGTATTAGGCTTCTATTGCTGAGAGGCCTCTGTTGTTGCATTAGCTCTAAACAAAATAATTTTGGGGAGGTAACATGGTCAGTGGGGGGGCTGGCTGGGCACTTATATTTTTCACAATTACTAAGATGCTACTTGCTTGCAAGAGATATTTTATTACCAGACATAACGTAGGCTCTGCACTGCTGACTGACCAGATCCTTAATGTTCTGTCTTCAGAAGATGAAACAAGCCAACTCTTGTCATGGCTCCAACCAACTGAATTAATAGCACCATCATGCCCTAAAAAATTAAGAAAACACATTTATTTATTTAAAACATTTTTACCCCATCCAATATGGAAGAATGCCTCAGGATGGCCTACAATAATTAAAACCAATAACAATTACAGTAATAATAATTACAATAAATAATAATTACAATAATTTAAGACATTAAATAATAAAATGATAAATAGCATTCATAATCAAAAATAAAACAAAAACAAAATGTGACTGTTGATGTTAAAAACTATTTAAAATCTCCTAATGTTTAAAATTACGGGTGAATGAAAAGGTTTTTAACTGACACCGAAAGTATAAAGTTGGCGCCAGGCAAACCACTCTGGGGAGTGCATTCCACAGTCTGGGTGCCACTACAGAGAAGGCCCTTCTCCAGGTGGACACTCTCTTTACCTCCTTCAAGGAGGGTTCCTGGAGCAGGGCCTCTCCTGCCAATCTTAAGGAAGGGGACGTTCCTTCAGGTATCCTGGTCTCAAGCTGTTTAGGGCTTTATAGGTTAGCACCAGTATCTAAAATTGGGCCCAGACTTCAATCGGAAGCCAGTGTATATGAGAATAAAGACTGGCCCCCATCAGCAGAAAGAGGAAATACGCATAGATATCTTCCCTTCTTTCTATTTCAGGAGACTACTGGGTTAGGCCTACATAGGGAGGACAGTGATCCAGCTGGAAAGTGCCATCTACGTTAGATTACAAAATGCTGTACTTCCAGTTCTAATCTTGACTGATTACCCAGCATCAGCAGTAGTGGTGATCCTGTAGCATAACTGAGGGGCACTCTGGGATTGCACATGTACCATCTTAATTATGCCACCCAAACACAGCCATATCAAGAGCAGGAGTGATGCAATTAAAACAACAGGACTAGTAGATTAAGTCATATTACATGGAGAACACCACACAGTACTGTGGCCAGGTTTGGCCATCTCAGCATCCCAGGTCTGCTATCACTCAGCTTAGCTACACTAGCAATCATAGAGGTGCCACTCTTGCAGCAACCCAGGAACAAAAATGCTGACCCACACTGCTGCAGCCTGATCCCTATCATTAGCAATTGGAGAGGGAAAGACAGGAAACTGAATTAAGTCACCCCCCCACACACACACACACACGCTTTCCCTTCCCCACCAAATGCTTGGACAGAAGGGTCACCTTTCTAAAAATCTGTGCCACCCATGTATGCTCTGCTGGAATGGAGCCAGAATGTTACTGCATCATTTCCATTCACACATCAAATTAGACTTACCCAACAATCACAGCATAATTCAAATACAGAATAATTAAAAAGCATTACAATAATCCTTTTAGTCAAGAAACACATCTTATTATAAGCTAGAAAGCAAGATTAGGTCAGTGAGAAGACTTATGGGTAGGCACACATAGATGTTAAAGGGAATGTTCCTTAAAATATAATGACATCTAAAGTATCTGTGGAAAATGGCATAAAAGATAAAGTTTCTATTCCTATGGCCCCCTGGACAGCATCTCAGGGATTATAGGATATTTCAGATTTCCAGAACTGAGGTTAAAGAGCTGTGAACTGAGGCTCTGACCCACCTTCTACCACCTCCTCACAGCTGGCACAGAAAATATCAGGAAAGCAGTCTCAAAGAGTGCGTAAAGGGAGTGTTCCGGGAGAAAGGAAGAGTATCAAGAGGCTAGGATATGAGCCTTGCTGGACACTTTCCCTCCATTTTCAGCTATAAAATGTTCCAGTAAAAACCATGTCTAGCAACAATGCAGGGCAGGGAGGAAAAGATTGCCTCTGCAACAGTGTTGCATGCTAACAACATCATCCTTGGATGATGTCCTTATTTTATGCTTAATTACAACGAATATAGAAGAAATTAAATGACGAACTCTCAGAAAGGAAGGGACAATTAGAGATCGGAGTTCTCATCAGCAGGCATTGAAAAAATAAACTTCTGCTAGTTCTATACATGCCTTATAAAGCAGTTAATATAACTGCAGGTTAACTATGTCCCTAGTAAACAGTAAATGAACTCAAAATAAAAAATAATGTAACATCTCATATTCATGTTATTTTATTTCCCAAGGTGAAAACTGTTTATATTAAGATATTTAAAGGTACTATGCTGTCCTCTAGTGCACATCATTGAAATTTTACTTTGATATTTATTTCATTTGCAGGATTCTCCATTTTAGTCCAAATTCCATAACTGAAGAACAAATAGTATAAGACTCGCAAATTTAATATCCCCTCCCCTATCTCTGTGAGTTTTCTTGAGGATGAACTTTGGAGACTAGGGGAAATTTATCATCAACAGTGGCACACAGATGGGTCCACAGGAGGAAATTCCCTTAAGGCTCTTTCACATTTTCACAGGAGGAAATTCCATTAAGGTTTACCATCCCTCACTAAGAGACCTGTTGTCACATGCAGTGTGATTCATTCCATCCTTATCCAGAACTGGAAACCCACTTAAGTTTCCCTGAAGCGAATTCTGCCATCTTACCTCACACCTAGTCAGCTTATGTAGACCTTATGTATGGAGATCCCTACAACATGCACAGAAAAACTGGGTCATACTCCCTTTCTTTATTTATTTTTCTTTTCTTTTAAAATCTAACAAAATTCTATCTGAAAAACAAGGGCTCAGTCGCACATCAATGTAAAATAGAAAGACAGAATCTATCTGGTACTGCGGTCAAATATACCCCAAGAAAGTCAAACAAATAAAACATCTGACAGACGTTATTAAACATTATTTGCAAAGAAAAACAACAACCCATGTCTTGCTTAGTAAAACCATCTAGTTTGATATAAACTATCAGGATCACTAATACCTCAAAAAGTAAAATACAAAAACCTATACAAACAAAATGTAGGTTTAAATTGACCTCACAATTTTTAACAACTCTATTGTGCTATTAGCATATCTATAACATAATTCTAACAGATGCACAAATACAGAAGAACAACCATGTCTTAATTTATCATTAACACCACCAGTATTTCTTCCAGACTTTGCATAGCTCACACAACCTCAGCAGTCTATGCATAATCATCGCATTGTATTACTGCATCAGTGGGATTGTTTTGCTGTGTGTTTGTGTTGTTGCCATTTCTTTTACTATACAGATGATACCTGCTCTTTTCTTGGCATCAGCAGTGGCAGACCCTACAACTGCAGACTGCAACTCTGGGCTCCACAATCACTCACAACAGTACAAGGGTCAGCCTTGTCCAGGCAGGATCGCCAGTTAGCACTGTCAGGGGAAGCTGCACTAGCAGGAAGTGTGACTGACTCAGATGCTACATGGCTGTGGACTCAGGCCTCCATTCTGCTGCAAGGGAACCAGGAGGAGCCAACTCTCTTTGAGGAGGGAGAGTCAGACTAGCTACACAGGGCCCAAACAGAAAACCAGTTAGCAAGGGAGTGCCAGATGGGGCCAGAAAACCTTCACACTTTTTCCTCTCTGAGCATGCATAGGACTTACACACTACGAGTAAAATAGGCCTTTTAAAAATCTGGGAGTCATCCATTTAACATGCAGTTTCTTGCATCCATCGTGGTCCAATATGCAGCCCCCAAGACCTTGATCTGTGGTCATCTTGCTACTCAGAGCCCCAGCCCACTTTCCTGTCACTCTGGACCCCAGCGATGGCATGGGCATGATTGTGGCAAGCTCTCCTGAGGCCGCCAGCCTCTCCCTCTTTCTTCCTGAGGCTCAGGGAAAGAGCGGGTTGGGCTGGTAGCCTCACGAGAGCTCACCCCAGTATGCCCAGCACCGCTTCAGCTGATAAGTGCAAAGGCGCTCAGGAGCTAAGCACCTTTGTGCTTGTCAGCGGAAGCAGCAGGGCATTCTGGGAAGAGTTTGCCAACTAAAGCACAAGAGGCTCAGCAAGCCAATTTCAAGAAGGAAGAAGGGACCAAGAGCGTTTCTGGGTGGGAGGAACAGAGAAGAAAAGGATGGGATGCCCCAGGCAAGCTGCTGTTGTGAATGAGCTGCAGTTGAAGAAGGATCTGCCTGCGATCTCTGACTGAGACCTCAGTCATATCAATTTTCTGCCCTGATTCTTCTTCCGTTTCCCAGTTTTGTTTCTTCAAAATCACAGAGCCAACTCTGAGAGCTTATATCTGTTTTCTCCCTCATTTAACTGTTATTTAAATATATTTAATTAAATAAATACACTGAGAACACTTTAATTTACAATATGGAAATGTAATTCACTGTGCAGCCCCTAGGTTCCATGTCAAAGTCTTCATGTGGCCCTCAAGGTATGAAAAGTTGGACCACTTCTGATCTAGAGAAAGTACAAGAGATGGCAGCTAAGAACAAAAAGACTGTGATTAATTTACCTGAATAAACAGTTGGTGTTCCTGTTAAGTTGGAATTGAATGCTAACAAAGTTTTGTCAGCTAAGCCGCAAGCCAACAATTCTCCATCTCCTATACAAATAATATAGGAAGTTAATTCAATAATTCTAAATCAAAAATATATCAGACAGTTATCAATCAATCAATCAATTATACATTTATATATATACTGAATTTAAGGTATATATCCTTATATTTATACATCTCCTTGTATAAAGGCCTTAAGTGCAGCAGTAGTGCAGGGGAAAATTGCTGCTAGTTCTTTGGTCATGAGACATTACATCAATCAACAATATAAAAAGAAAAGTTCAACATATCAGATAATTTATGTACTACCAATACTTACCACAGGTAAAAATTTAATAAATGGAAGAAAATTATGCCAACATTCTGTGCAGCTCCACGTGGATGCCTTATTCATGGCATAATAAACTAATAACTAAAAGTTAGTTCAGGCAGCAAGTTTTGTTTTGATTCAGTAAAATAATTTCCATGCTAGAAGCTATTTCCAATGCAACATATGTGTCAAAATTTAAGGGGACTACATCTGGAAATGTACATGATTTTTGTTGTAACTGATAATAATTTGCCTTTTGTTATCACTGTCATTGCAGTCTAATTCTGCTCTCTAGGATAGAATTACCTAAGAGCAATTAATTGTATATATTCTAACAGCAATCCCATTTTTTCAGAGAAGGACACCCAAGGAATTATTGGATGGGAAACGTTATCACTAGGAAGGGGCTGGTTATAGCATGTTGCGGGGCATGGGTGATCTGACTAATTTCATAGTAAACAGCAAAAGCTACAGAATCAACCAGCTGAGTTCTGGAGCTGAGGGAGTTTGAACTGGCAACACCTGTTTGGCCTTGCAAAGTGTCATCTCCACAGACCATTCTGCAGAGGAACCTGCCATAAAATCACCAAGAACCATTCTGTTCCGATGTAATTATCTCAATGGAGATGGCTCACAAAGGGACCCACCTACACTGATGAGGAAGCAGCAAGTAAAGAAAAGGAGGGATGCTATTCCTCTGTTCAACCTAAGTCGTGATTTCTCTCAAGTTCCCCTGTAACTCAGGCTTGGTTTGAATTGTGACATTCCATACAATTGATTTCTTAATTAAGCTGCAATATTAGCACCACAGTTTGGCATCTATCCACACTAGATGGCTCTCCAGTATACTTACAATATATGTTTAGTTGAGGTGATGAAGATTAAATATGATGCAAGCCACATGGAATAGCACCCAGGTTTGACTTTAGGTTTGCAGGCATCCAGAAGATTACATAGTCAATAAACCAAATCGATGCAAGCTTTTTGTCTAAATTAAGCCTAGTAAGCAAGCCCTTAAGCATGTTAAAGAGTCTAAATGAAAATTCATGTTGGTTATTCTGTACCTGAATACTGAATACAACATACGGCTGTTGATTTATCAGCTACAGTAATCAGTCTCTCAGATTTTGTTGGGGGAGATTTAGCAAGTGGATAGTCTTCTTTATTTCTTCTACAAGAATACAGAAATAATATGAGAAAAGTTAAAAGGGTAGAAGGACAAATTGTGATGCCACCTCAAATTAATTAGAAATATTGACATTATTCCCTTTTATGTATATGCAGTCGTACTTGAACATACATATTGCTGAGGTAATTTTATAAGTCCTTTTTCTTGGTTTATCTCTTAAAACATAATTTGAGGATAAGGCTTATTTTGCTAAGAGAACATGATTCTTTCACAGATCTACTATATTACTTACAATTTGTGGCTTCTCTTGCTCTTCAGTTTTTCATTAGGTTTTTGAGAAAACATAGTCATACTACAAGAGAAAACAAAAGGTGCAAATACAGAAGATAAACCTTGGGGCCAAACTAGACCAGGCATTATATACTGACAAAATATCAGCTTCAGAGAAAGGATTTTGCTCAGGATCACAGGAGTGTAGGAAAAGGTCTTTTCAGGTTCTCCCTCAACTAAAGTAATTTTCAATCAAAAGTATAACACCAGTAGGTTGGATATAAAGGTACATTTAGCAATACATGTAGCCAGTGCTTTTTTTGTAAAAAAACAAAAAACAAAAAGGTGCTGGAACTCACATCTTGGGGTCACACTTTTACACTAAAAAACATTTTCAATTCACCAACTTTTTTTTGAAATAAAGAACTTATTTACCTTTTGCACGTAGCCAGTCACTCTACACAGACAAACATAATGGTCGCCGCCAGCAGTAAGCACTCAGTGCGCGACCACATGACTGATCCCAAGCCAAGCAGCGTCCCAAGCCGAGCAGCGCCTTCACAATCAGCGCTGACACACAAGCAGCCCGCAGGCACTATGTTAATGATTTTTGCCGCAGTCCTGCTACGCCCAACAGGGCGATTCACAATCACTTGGAAAAATCCATCAAAAAATGGTGCCAGAACACTGTTCCGGTACGTTCTATGACAAAAAAAAAGCCCTGCATGTACCTGTCCCTTAGAAATTATTATAGAAGTTGCTTGCTTTCATTTAAATCAAGGAGGGGTTGAATGCTGCTTTAATATGTATCTCTACCTCATTAGAGACAAAGTTCTCACAATCTCCATTTTGACAGTCACTGACAGTCCCTGCAAAGTACCCAAGTGGCACATTTGAGGGCCTGTCCCTGCTGGCAAACAGGTTAAGGGTTGGGCTTTTGTTGTTGTTGCTTTGTGCAATCAATTTTTTTAAGTGGGTTTGTTTAATTATTTATTTAAAAGAGCCACGCTTGCACAGGAACCATTGTTTTATGAGTGCAAAGCTCACATTCCTCCTGTCTGAGTGCAGTAGCGGCCAACCCTGAACACAGACCCAAGGAGTCTCCTAATGGGGCTTTTCCTTTCTTTCTCTTGACAGCTTTCAAAAGACAACGTATCAAGAGAAGGCAGAGGTGTGAGTGCTTTTAGTTCACAAAAAGGGGATGGTGTGATTTATACCCCATCACAGCAAGTTCATGTTTTTAGTTGTATGTTTTATTCTATTTTGCCTTTACAGTCCTCAGAATAATACATATTTTATATTTCCCCCCAATACTCTTGATGCTCAGAAAAGTGCCAAAGTGCATCCCACTCACTTTTCTGGAGAAAAGAAATACTGATTGCTAGTTTTCAAAATTCTGGGTCCCTTTTAAAGTAGGGTTTTGAGATGGCAGTGTTTGTTTGCCTGTCTGTTTCTTACTGGGATATTTATGGGCTGAGGGGAAGCTCTTTTCCTTAGCGTCATATCTTGTTGGAGTAGTCTGCCAACTAGGAGAAGGCACTCACCAAATGCATATAGTGGAATCCCCAAGAATGGAAATTTATGGTAAGTTCACCAGTTCATTTTCAGTAGTAAATTACTGTCTCTCAGCATATTGTCTGTCCCACTGAAAATCACTGGAAATATGCCAATTTCCCAAACAAGCATTTCTTTGCATTTTAGATTATCACAGTACCAAATTATCTATTTTCTGCTCTTTATTGTTTACTCTTTTGCCTATTTTACACCACATTCTTCATATGTCAAATATTCTATTCTATAATAGTCATGCAGTTCCCTTTACTGCAGTAAAATAATGGGACAATTGATACTAAAACACTTGAAACAGTTTTACCACCATTATTGTACTCACTGTGGTGCTGATGTGTAACCTGATGACTTAATTTTGTTATGGAAAACCAGAGGCTGGTCTTTTATTCTGCTTTTCATACCTGAGTTAATGAAGTAGCAGTAGTCAAAATGAGAAATGAACACTACAACCAAGTAACAGTAAATACATGTATTTAGTAAACATAATGTTACAAGTATGTTTTGGATTCCCTGGTTATTTATTTAGGGCACAATCCTATAAATATTTAGAGGCAAAAAGTCCTACATATCCCAGCATTCTTCAGTCAGCCATGCTGAGATGTGCAGAACTTGCTTCTGGCCAAATATGCATAGGATTGTACTTTTACTCTATTTTTATCTCTTTTTTCAGTCTCCAAAGAGACACATCAGGGCTTTTCTCTTTTTTAATGACATCCCCCAAAATATAAGCATTCCTTTACTGTTTAACCCTGCCTTTTAAAAACATGGGCCATTTTTAAACCCATTAAGCAATTTCAAAAAATATCTTTACACAGATTATTAAAGACAAACAGCAAGCACTCTACTTCAGCCTTCCCCAACCTTGGGTCTTCCAGACACACTTGGACTGCAACACCCAGCATTCCCAGTCAATGGCCCTGCTGCATGGGAATTCTTGGAGCTGCAATCCAAATGCCTTTGAAGACCACCAGGTTGGGGAAGGCTGCTCTGCACTAGGCATCAAATAACCTGAGCATTCATTTCAGTGGAGGGGACAGTTGCCAACACACGTAGCATTTCATTTCTATGCAGATGTAACCAGACTTGATAGAAAGTCTGATTTCTTCCTTAATCAGACTTTGGTTGCAGGTTCAGCATGCCTAGCATGTGCCCTGGAGAGCCAGTTTCCCTTTCCTAAGCCAAGAGCCAATGGGTAGCACTGGCCATACAACATCAGGCAGCAGATACGAAGAGATGTGGAGCAGTGGAATAGTGGCAAAGTGTTACAGGACACAGCTGTGTGTGCTGTGCAGACTGCCTTGCATCCTCTAGTTTGGCCTGATGCCCTTGGGTGTGGTGGAAGATGCTGCCCATCTCCATTACTGAAGTAAGATTCAACTGCAATCTGGTTGGTTTCTGTGTATGGAAATGGGAGAGGTGCCGTCTCATCCTTTGCCACAGGGACTGGCTTGGGCCAGGCTGGCCAACGAGGGAGGGCAAGAGCAGGTGCATCCCACTGCCATGCAACCGATTCTACTTGATTCTTTCCTACCAATGAGATGAGACAGCAGGTTGCCCAATCAAGACACCCAACAGCAAACTGCTCTGCTTGCATTCCCTGGGTGAGTCTGCACAACATGGCAGCATGCAAATAAATCTAAGTAGCAAGCTGATTTAAAGTTTAGCAAGTTTACCTTTTTTATATGCAAGTTTGCTTTTTTCTTTCTTTGGACGCAAGGGAGAGTTCGGCAGAAGAGAGCACCTACAATCAACAAATCACATATATTACTATGAAATCCTCATCATAATTCATAAACCATTTACAGAACAACAATAATATCAACATCAATCACACTTCCTCAGGATATCTGAGGCACTGTAGACTTACATTAGATCTCTGGAATCATATCCATGTATATTATGCTACTTCCTTTTACATGTGCATTTAAAATGTATAAGCAAAAAAAGCCAGACTTGGCAGTCCAATATAGAACTACAGTCCATGTTATTTATATTTGCTTAGCTGAGTGACTGCATTCAAACATCTAGTTCTAGTTGCTAGTTCAAACATCTTCTCTGCCATGAACTCATAAAATGGCATGATACAGCCCATTTCAGTTTCAGAGGCCCCTGTCCTCTTGAGCTCTTCTGAGGATTCTTCAATTTGTCTAAATGAGATGCACTGAAACCTCAAAAATGATATATATTTGTATTATGTATTACTGCTACTACTATTGCTGCATACCAAGTAAGAATTGTGTGAACACATTCTTCTGTGACAAGGTCCACTTCTCAGTTTGAAAGTCACATTCTGGAAAAAAAAGTGCCTCTGGCAGTCCTACTGCCCTGCCAGGGCAGCCTGATGGTGTGCTGGATACCCAGAAGCTTCTGAGATTGGAGGCTCCCTTCTAAGGGGAATGTTCTGATGTGCTCATCGCTATCAGCTCCAAAACATGGGGATATATTTGTGTAACTATTGTCTAAAATAAATAAATAAATAAATGGGCCTAAAGTCTTGCTTCAGAAGACACATCCATACTGCAACTGAGAAATGATGGCAACACAAGCTGCAACAAATATAGAAATTGTGAGTATTATGTGAGGGTACTGGTATAGTTAAATGCTGCTGTTTAACATTTTAGCACCAATACTACAATACTGTATCGATATGCTGTCCTTGATGTCTTTTCAATTACTTCAGCTGGTGTGGAGTTAATGGTTCATATTTGTCAACATTCTTTAATTCACAGTTGGCTACCTACTGGTCCTTCAGGCACACTGATTCTGACTTGCAGAAGCATTACCAACAAATGTGCTTGAGCAGCTTCTCTCCTCTCATGGGGCAGACAATGAACCAATAAAGCGTGCGTGCTTGCTTGCTTGCTTGCTTGCTTGCTTATTTATTTATTTATAAGCTTTTCTATACTGGGGCAGACAATGAACCAATAAAGCATGCTTGCTTGCTTGCTTATTTATTTATTTATAAGCTTTTCTATACTGTCCTTCACCTTGAGTCCCAGGATGGTGATACACTAAAAGTACAGCATCATCTTTAAAACCCGTATTTAAAATAGCATCAACACTTAAAATATCAGGAAAATTAAAAGGCTTTGGCCTCATGCCGAAATGAATAAAATATTGGCACCAGGCACACCTCTCTGAAGAGCATATAGCATACTCAGGGTGCCACTGCAGAGAAGGCCCTTCTCTGGGGAGCCCCTCTCCTGATCGCCTTCAAAGACATCTCCTGGAGAAGGACCTCCAATACAGATCTTACAGGGTGGGCAGGTATGTATAGATAAGGAGGTGTTCCTTCAGATATCCAGGTCCTAAGCTGTTTAGGGCTTTATACATCATCACTGGTACCTTTGTTGAGATTGATGGTAAGATATACTTATTAATTCACAATTAATTCACTATCCTGAGCATTGTGTAACCCATCACTTGCCAACATAACTGTTCCTGCAGAGGCAACAGCAGGTAATATGAAGGAATAGTGAATTTTAGAATGGCTACTTAATGAGTGATGCTTTCTTCAAAAAAGCCATGAATGCATGCATAATTGTGCCACCGAGACACCCTTGTTGCACTTTCACATTCTGCTTACCGTATTTTTTGCTCTATAAGACGCACTTTTTCCCCCCTCAAAAGTAAGGGGAAATGTCTGTGCGTCCTATAGAGCGAATATGTGTGTGCAGTAAGTCTGTCAGATGTGCAGCCCATGGGGAAGTGATGGAGAATGTGCCTGTGATTATGTGCCCATTTGATTCAGAATATTTTTTTCTTGTTTTCCTCCTTTAAAAACTAGGTGCATCTTATGGTCAGGTGCATCTTATAGAGAGAAAAATATGGTATATGAAATTTGGAGGTAGGATAAGGAGTTTAAATGTTAAGTGCACCCATATGCCTCACAGTCTCCCTGAACTCTATTTTAGTTATGTAATCAGATTTTTATTAATATATGTTTTTAATTATTACAGATGCTCTGCGGTAAACATGAAATGATTTTTTACCTGGCAACAACTGAAAGGTCTTTCTCTCTTCCACTCGCAAGGAACTCATTCTGCTGGGATCTCAACAGGGCAGCGACACTAATTTCCAGTAAGGAAATTCTGTTCTCAAACATTGAAGTTAGCAAACAAAGAACCTGCAGAGACCATGTCTATTAAGTATTTCTCGCTTCAGACAAAATAGCACCATCCTAGTTAACAGAACATGAATGGCTTTTACCGTCAGCAGAGACCTGCTCAAGAAATGGGACTTTCTCATCTCCTCCTCCTACTTTAACCCCATGACCTCCCGCTGCAAAAAACAAAACAAAAAAAACCGCTCCACATGCTGTTTGAGACAGGGGTCACTTTGGAACAACATGAGATGTGGCATGCACGGCTGCAGAAGGAAGGGGAAATAGATAAAAATCAGTGACTTTCACATGAGGCACACTTGCTCTTTCAGCGTTACACATGTGTCTTTTTACGATGCCAGCTGTGACCACATCATTCTTAAGCTGACTTAGAAGTAAACTTCATTCTGTGAAATCAGCATGGGCTAATTTTTATTTCCTTGCATTTTTCATCTTTGGCTAAGTAAATTAGAATGACCGTGGCCTTGGTTTACCTTCATAACTTAAAGGCAGCCAACCACCAAAATACCACACATAGTGTTACTGAGAAGACTTCGTACTTCTTTCCAGCTGCTGCCTTGTTAGGTTAAGGGTGCTTCCAGATGGAGAGCTCCTACTGATGGAATTGAGAAAACTTTGTGCAGCTGTTCCATCTTTTTCTCCTCAATGATTTTTCTTCATTAAGGGAAAAAGACAGAAGAAAGTGTAAAAAAAGACAAGAGAGTCACAAGGAGAAGAGAATGTTGACTGGACCCCATTAAATCTCTGAAAATGAGGTAGGGCAAAGTGATGATAAATGCCTCACCTAGAAGCACCCCAGGGGCATTGGTAAGCCTGGACCCATAAGGCCTCATCCCCACATCTATCCCTACAAGGGATTTCATAGAATCCTGAGCATCCACTAGTGCTCAGGAAATGGAAACAAATTTTCAAGAAAGGTTGCGGCTGGAGAGGGAAGGGTCAACTCTCCCTTCGAAGAAGAATGTATTTTATTTGAAAGTATTTGGATGAGGAAATTAAGTGGTTAGCTTTGACCCTCTGTGAAATTTAAAGAATTCATGTAATCAGTTCTAAAGAGGGGTGTGTGTGCACATGCTCATTAGATATGGATATTTGTGTACTATGGGTCCAGATCCCAAATATTTTAAAGACCTAGCAGTACCCCTGAAGCAATACCCCTGAAGTATTCTATGCCATCAGAAGAATGAGGACAAGGGGACACAGCTCCATGTTACAGATATTTGGTGTGCCTGAAGCTGTACGTTCCACCATCTGCTTTTCAAGCTAAAGGATCCTGAATAGCAAAGTTGGAAAAGTTCTGCCTTTAGCCCAGAAGAACTGTAGCTGATTAACACTGGCAATAATGAACTTGTATTACAGGTAGCATAAATCTTTCTGTTGTTACTATTTCAGCGGTGTGAAAGTTTGTAACACTATTACTACATTTTCCAAAAATTATTGGGGAGAATTATCATTACCTTATGTAAAAGTATTGCTACCATCTGGTACCATGTATGAGAGCTATTTTGTAAAATAAAATGTTCCTCTGAACTTTCAGTTTTCAATAAGAATGAATTGTGATATGAGCAGAAAAAATCCTGAGTGTTTTAAAGTATTTTAAAATCAATTCTATACTCACCTTACCATTGGTTGCCTTCCTCATTAAAGCACATGATCCCACAAACTGAATGCTGAGAGCACTGAAATCTTTCGACACAAGAAAAGTCAACATGATAAAATATATTTCTAAGATAGAACAAGATTTCTCGTATTATACATATATAAGAGTCTATTTCTTTCTTCAAATGTATTTTAAATCAATATAATGACTGATTTCTCCAAAACTATTTCCAGTTTTAAAATATGTGAGAAAAATATAAATCCATAAACTTATAATCACACACAAATATGACTGTGTAATTCCAACTAGTCTAACCAAGTACAAGAAAGTTACAACATATGAAAGAAGAGAACTTTTAAACAAAAGTATTGTTTTTCTACATGTAGAAAATGTGTGCACACATATAGAGAGAGTAGCACAGCTATAAGCTAATCAAACTTTAATAAATGTATACATTGTACCTTTATAATGTAAAACAGCTTCCAACTCAAAATTGGCCATATTAATTATGAATAAACCAGTAGAGCTTCCTATCCACAAACAATGGGCATTCACAGCAGGAAAACTACATTAAAACAAAAGGAAACATATATCTACATTAATGGCATTAAAATACATTTAAAAAAGAAGAAAAATGTAACCCCTCCAATCAGGTAGGTGAGCAAACTTATCCCCAAGCACATTTTACACTGCAGAATTTACATGGTCTTCCTATGACACTGTTGGGTACTGTCACCTGAACAACATTCCCAATATAAACTGTTGGGATAGCCCATATAAACAGTCAACAGGGATGGGAATAGAAAGCGAAAAAGGAAGAGAGGCGCTCTATGTAGCTTATTGGTGTCTAGGTTCAGATATTATTCAGAGCTATGCAGTGAAGCCAGGAAAATCAAGATGAGGAAATCAAGATGTTTTTTAAGTGCTAGACTTGATTTGAAGTCTGCTTATTTTGATTGGTTTGGCATTATATATGAATGCTATATAGAAGATTAGGGATTACAACATTACAAACAAGATTACAAAAATCTATACAATTCTCTTCTATGGAATATACCAACCAGTGGGTGCAAAATTATTGTACTTACTTGTGTAATTCATCACCTACACTTGTGGACTTGTCACAATGCTCAATTCTGAGAATGGGAAAGGTGGCTTCAACCATTTCTTTATTTCTTAAATCATTTGGAGTATTCATTTTAGGACTATCCTGAATCTCGTCTGGGGAACAGAGACAAAAGACAGACAATGGTTACATCAGAAACAAACTGATGGGGACATTCAATTCAAAATTAAAAAAATAGTGTTTGTTAATAATCAGATTTAATTCAAAACACATTTGTATGCTATTCATGTGGTGGTGTTTTCTGTTATTTCATATTGCATTACTCTAACAGTTTCTGTTTGCCATCCCATGCTAGCACAAGGGTTGGCTCCACTTCGGGAACAGAATACAATTCCAACTCAGCTGACCCCTCTGTTGTCCCTATCCTACCATGCCCTCTTCAGCAAAGGCACAATCTTATGCAAGTTTAGACAAGAAAAAAGCTACTACTCTCAGTCCACACGCTGAGAGTTGTAGGTCTCTTTTCTGTCTAAATTTGCATAGGATTCCACTATAAACTGACATTAGATTGCTGGGCTGGCATGGCTACAATTTTGCAAAAACAATTGCATTGGGAAAATGCAGCTTCCCGTTAGCTGTACTGGTGACGTAAGTAACTAATACAAGATGACTTATCAGCAATTGTGTCCCGCTGATGCAGCACCCAGCAGATGGCATCATGCTGTTAGTTAAATATCACTCCTTCTCAGGTAACATGCAAGGGACATTTACTTTTAAATCTTCCAATTACCGCTAATAGAAAATACATTGTCTATACTTTGTTTTCATATAGCAAAATCTGCACCATTTGCAATTGTTGTAAATTTTAAAAATGTAATTCCTAATTTACAGCTTCAGAGACCAATGTCATTATTGCTGATGTTTAAGGTGAACACTGTGCCCTTCTATGACTTTTTTATGGTACTGTCCTATTTAATTTCAAACTCAACTTGCTGCATTAACATGCATCCAAAACTCCTTTTAAGTTTTAAGAAACAACAAAATCTTAAAATAAAAACATATCAGCTTAGAATGTAGTCCCATGAATGTCTATTATGTCACTAAGTCCCACTGAGTTCAGTGTATAAGGTATGTTTATGGTTCATACTGAGGGAGATGATTCCAGAAAAACCATGATTCATTGCTTTTTAGGGTTTTAAACACGAATACCAACGTCTTCAACTGAGCATGAAACAAATTGGCATACAGCAAAGTTGACTAAAGATTGACATATATGAACCATTCTGCTGGTCCCAGAAAAACACTGTTGCCAAGATTCTGTACCATCTGAATTTTTTAGATTGCCTTTAAAGATAGCCCCATATAATGTGACCAGATTATGAATTACAGTGTCTACATCTCATTTATCTAGTAAGGGGCAGAGCTGATGTACCACAAGAACAGCTAATCATACTATGCCAATCTATCATCAATTCTGTTTGTTTCTGAGATTGTATCAAAGAACTAGTATTAAATTTTAAGGTCTTAAATAGTGTGGTACCAGGAAACACCAGGAATTGTCTCTTTCCATAAAAAATTGCCCAAGAACTTTGCTCTCCTTCAGTGAACCTATTGTGCATGTGTGTGTTTGATATCTGAATATACAATTGATCTGTACATATCAAAAAGTTACATCTGAAAAACATATTTTAACCATATCACTAATTAACAAGTAATAATTGAAAATGTTTTCTGAAAGTGCTATGTTACCGAAATGTCCAGATTTCCTAATTCTGCAGAATTTCTCTCTTTCTTTCTTTATGTCGATATGTGCCACACAACGATACTGATGCCCACTAATCAAGCTGAAGATCCATAGCTGAAAGAGGAAAAAAAGTAATATCTTACTTTTATGCATTTGCCTTTTAATAAGCATGTTCTGATATTATCACCAGTAGTCAGGGTAAGATTGCAGCAAAATACCAAATGTGATCAATCCAATATATCTTAGCTGGAGCATAAAGGCTCACTTTCACTAACTTACTTTTGAAATGGTACTGTGGCAACACATTTTTCAGAATGTCAGCTCAGGTTTATATCCTTCCATTTGGACATCTACTCCACATTGATTTGGACTACTTTTCTAACAGTATAAGTAAAGGAAACAAAACCATCTATTCTGGCTTCCTAATAAAGCATAAATGAAGTAAACTTGAATTCCAATTGACAATGTTACAGCATTTCAGCCTACGCGAATACGTAATAAAATGTGTGTCTATAAAATTTAATTGTGTATTTTAGTTACCACAAACATGAAATCTAGCAATCCAGAAGCTATAACACACTGCTAAAACCTCTCTGTATTTTTATGGTTGCATATTTAATTTCCAGGGTGAATGCACATGTCAGAACAAACAATTCTGTCAATAAGATGTGGTGAGTTAATTGTTGTGCCAATATACCATGCTGCCCTTGACAGAGGATCAGGCTCATCATGTTTTCATTACTTCTGGCCACCCAATATATGCATTTTTTTTTCCATTTTTTCCCTTTTTACTCTAGCTGCTCATCACCTTTTCTAGGCAATGGGCCTCTTGACAGATGGCTGTATATATCCCAATTTTAAAAAGAACACATTGCCCTCTCAAAATTCCTTTTAAAGCTAGATGTCAAACTCCTTTTCCCTAGAAAAAGGATTGGAATGTGTTTTTCCACTTTCCCGAGCAGCTGGGCCTGGATTGTTGTGTCCTGCAAGCCCTGCCTCTGTATCTTTATACAGAAAGATTCCCAAATAGTGGGAATAGTGGGATGCTGGACTATATGGTTTGTATTAAGCAGATCCCATATTAAGTTGATTTTTACAGTATTTACAAATATTCAAAGCTCAATAATAGTGAGTCAGATAATTTTCCTCAGTGTTTCCTACATGGAGCTTTTTCTAGTTGAACCTGGGGATCTCAGGAAAGTTTTGTCACCTAATTTTAATACAATCAAACAGTTGCAAACAGTCAAACTCCATGAATGCTTCCTACCTGTCCATCGCCACAGCCAGTGATAAACTGTTTGTTTTCTTCATCAATGTAGAGACTTAGAAGAGGAAATGCTGTGCAAACAAATTCCACTATATTTATATATTATACAGAAATCTGTATCAATAGTTAAGTCGCTTGCAGGAAAAAGTACAACAGTAGTACATCTTTGCTCATATTAAAAATGCTGTTTGTTGAACCCTCCAGTAAGATGGCATCATAAACTAGCCATGGATGGCTACAAACTTAGTGAATGAAGTAATGGTATAAATGTGTGCGCGTTCTGAAATTACTTCTTTGTGCAACTACTCTCAACATAAAAGTAGTATCTACTTAATTGTTGAAAGAAGGTAGAAAGTGTGGAATGATTAGACATAGAACTGAGTGGCTGACAGCATACACTGGGTGTAACACAGCTCTTAAAAAAGAAAAGCTTCCCAAGACCAAAGGAGGAAATTTTGAACAGAGTAATGGAGAATGGGCTGCTTAACAATTTTCCTGCTCAGATATCTTCAGCTGCAGTGTTGTTCTTGTTAGTCACGAAGCCGTGTCCAACCCATCGCAACCCCATAGACAACATTCCTCCAGGCCTTCCTGTCCTCCACCATCCCCCGGAGTCCACTCAAGCTCACACCGACTGCTTCAGTGACTCCATCTAGCCACCTCATTCTCTGCCGTCCCCTTCTTCTTTCGCCATCTATTGTTCCCAGCATTAGGCTGCAGTACCTCTACACAGTATTTGTCTTGCATATGAGCTTAGCTCCATAAGAGAGCCATTTGTGGGAAGAACATTTCCAGCAGAGAAGTTACAGGCAGGCAAAGTTAAGGACTCTCTCTCTGCCCTTGTGTTACTTCTCCTCTTCAAATGTTCCTCTGGAAGTGGCTTTTCTAAGACACATGTGGGTCCTTCTTATATGCACTTACAATGCATAGCAAGCCCATGCAAACAGCTTCCAAGCAGTAATACTGGAAAATGAATAAGGCAACTAAGGTAGAGAAGGAAAGTAAAAAGTTCAGTGGAGTGAAATAAAAAAATCCCACTACCAAAACAATACATTAGTCAGTCACACACACACACACAAATTATTATTAGCATTTACTGTGATGCCTCATCTCAGTTCAATCATATTTATGGATACAGGGATGCATGTGCACAAATGGCTACAGCATTTGTCCCATCTGAGAATAATTTGCAGATCTGCGCCCTCTACAAAAATAAACAATTAGAACACAAGCAAGGACTCTGGATCACAGCAACTACATATACAACTATTGTTGTCAATGGGAGTAACAGAGAACAGATGTATGGAACTAAATTTAAAACCCAGTCCATAATTCTAACAATGTACTGATTTTGGCCTTTCCCTCCAAAAAATAATATTGGCATAAATGAATACGCTCACCTCTTATATTAAATACTACTTTATAAAAAGAGACTTACGTTGACAATAATTTGTTTATTTTTAAAACATACCTGTTATTATTGCTGATCGGTATATTAAGAGTCCAGTACAATAGTCCCAGACCTTTGAAAAGCATAGTAACATGTAAATAATGAGAGCAAGCAACTGAATAATATGTAAACTGATATGTTACATAGTTCAAAGTCAGGATTTCAAAAAAGGTATTCACTGTTGTCTTAAGGTACACAGTGTATGGAACTCTGGGTGATTGTTCCTTATTGCAGAAAACGACTGGCACCCGGATCTTAATGCACATATTCTTTCAGAACATTCACACTGCATTCAGTACAGCTTAATTTCAAGCAAGCTTATTTATAATGGCAGCTTGTTTCAGAAACTCATTTATTTGAATTGCCATTAAACAAGGTTATGAGAACATATTATTAGTGTTCCACCATCAGCAGGTACAAAATTAAAACAGCAATAGTGATCTACGTCTGCTTCAAAAATGAAAGGTAAATATCAGCTTAAACAAACAACAACAAACAACTAAATCTTTGTTGATTTCACAGGATGGGCACTGAACCCAACAGACCAAGCTGTACAGAAAATGGAATTATAACTGGACACTAGTCTTTACTATTGACAAGCAACCTGGAAAAGCAATGCTGTATAGCTCACCACTAATCAGTTTTATGCCACTTATGAGAATAAGCTTTCATAAATTTTGTTTGACTATTACCTCGACTTTATGCTACTTGAATACATCTTTTATGTTGTCATATCCTGAGCCAAATGGAACATTTAGAACAACCATACCCAAAAGCAGTTTCCTTGCCTTAAAGCTTCTGTCTTCAGAAACAGATATCAGTATATTTGTCTCCCATGTACAAAATTCAGCAGCCGTTACTGGAGCCAGGTGGCCCTCCAATTCAGCAACTATAGCTTCATTCTGCAATTAATCCAGGAAGAAAAGTACATAAAATTTCAATATAAAAATGGTTTGACCCGGTTCAGCAATGGGGACAGTGCACTTAGATAAGACATCCAAACTCGGCACCCATGAGCACCTCCAATGACACCTGGAGGTCCCCCATTTATATATATATATATATTTATTTAATTTTATATATACATGGATTTATATTGAATGCATACAACTTTCTAGCAACTGTACATGAACTTCAACATAATTAGATCAAATATCCAAATAAGTAACCACTGAAGTTGACTCTATAAGCCACTTGTTCATAAATCAAAAGCACTGTAACATACTCAATCCATTGCAGAGGTGACCATTTACTCTTAGGGCATGTACATCCATGAATACTAAAGACCATTCCAATACAATATTATGATATAATAATCTCCCAGAAACAAGCCTTTACTATACAGTGCCAAATAAAAGTTGCATTAGCTGTATTGCACCACCAGCAATTAACTGAATTAAACGTTATCAAAGAGATTTTGTGGTATTCAATAAATATTAAATAAACTTTTTTGTTGAATAAGACAACTACCTAAGATCCACAGATGAGAGAGGTAGATGCCAAGGCTGGGGATCCCTTCTATTAGATCTTGGTGACAACTTCTACTACATAATTGTTGTTTTATTGTGTCAAGAAAGTTTCAATAGTTCTAGGCATTATCTAAAGAGGTAGAGCTCCGTTTTTCGGCTGGAAATCAGAACTCCAATCCCTCTTTCCTGAATCTGTTCCAGCCCTTTCCCTCATGCTTCTCCTCTTTGGAAAGCAAGAAAAGAGACAGGTAATGATCACTTCCACTGCTCCCCCCACTCTGCATGGGATGAACATGAGCTTCCAAGTTCAGACATGTATGCTCTTTCCTACAAGACTGTGTCCTTATCCATTCTATTTCATCTAGAAGCTTCTGGCACAAAACAGTTCATTGCTCCTGTTTTTAGCATTGTCTTTTTCTAGGTTGTTTTGTTTCCAATTACTCTTTTACTATATTGTTAAAGAAATACAGAAAGTAGAGGCAGCGAACTATTTTCACTCAAATATACATTATGTTCAATGTAAATTTTGCACTAGGTAAATAAAAGGAAAATTTCAAATAATGTATTGGCCTTGTGAAAAATACTAGTTGGTGCATTAGAATAAAAACTGCTTTCAACTTAATTCTGCTTCTTTCATGGTGAAGAAAGTTATTCATAAATAACACAATTAACGTTAAAGGGAATATATTACCTGGCAAAATATCTTCTCACCTTTGCATTTAGCATGTATATCCGATTCCCAGCACATACTGCCACAGTTTGATCATCTGGACTAAATCGGACATACAGCACCATTCCCAAAAGTGTTCCTATAACAATGCCTTGTGGCATGAACCCTGCAATAATTTGAGCACAAAATTAGACTACTTAATAAAACCAGAATTTAAATAATCATGTAAATAATTAGACTAAGAATTATTTAATAGCATAATCAGATGATATAGTTTGTTATTAACATAGTTGTTTATAGTAGCTTACAGCATAATCAAATGTATGACTATTCAGAAATGAGGCTCACTGAATGCAATAGAGTTTACTCACAGGTAAGAGTGGATAGGTTTGCAGCCTAAAGTATCCGAAATCTGCATCTTTATTTTGCTCTTCTACAGTATAGCAGAAGACAAAGCTAAGGGAAATTATACATTTAAAATTTAATATGACCTCCAGGTGCTGGGGAACATAGCTGGAAGAATGTTGTTGCACCTTTGTCCTGCTTGCTGGTGTCTCATGGCCAGCTGGTCGGACACCAGTTAAACAGAATGCTGGACTAAATGGATACTTTGTTTGATCCAGCATGCGCTCTTGGGCTTCATGTACCCTGGAACATATGAGCAAATCTCTCTAATCCCTGATTTCCACAGCCATGTTATGATGGTATGTCAACATGTTTCTATTTTCAATCACTATGGCTACATTCAGAATGAACAATATGCACATGCACAAACTGTTGTTTGCAGTGCTTTTTTTATAAAAAAAAAAAAGGTGGGAACTCACTCGCTGGCAGTAAGCACCCAACCACACACACAGAGGAGCGTCCCAAGCTGAGAGCAGCGCCCTCACTATCTCACTATCAGATAGCAGATGCAAAAGCAGCCTGCAGGCACTATGTTAATGATGTTTGCTGCTGATCTGCTACAATTCAAAATCACTTCGTAAAATCCATTGGAAAAAATGGTGCTGGAACACTGTTCTGTTGCGTTCGATGACAAAAAAAGCCCTGGTTGTTTGAGAAGGACCCTCTAACTCACAGTTTGGCCATTCAGTTGTCATCAAAAATGGCACTTTGAAAACTATATTAAGCAAAGGAAAAGTAAAGAATGCATGACACATGCGGGACTTCTTTCCAGTGGTTCATATGTCATAATTTTGGCGGACTACATTTATGGTATGGGTTTAGTAAAAGTCATAATGTGATGATATTGAATATATGGCATGATGTTCACCTTGCAGCACTTTCTTCATACATTCATCCAGATTCCACACTATCACATAGTCATGGGAAGCAGAGCAAATGAGAAGTGGATTGAGTTTGTTCCCGAATGCCAGTGCAGTAATTGAATGGTGATGACCTATTAAGTGTAATGGCTGACAAAAGATGTTTTGGGTTATTTGAACTATTTATATGATACACAGCTAGAAAAATTTAATATCTGCTAAATATTCATGCTAGATAGACCAACTATCTCTTTTTTTCTCAGAGTGATTTAGGGTAAACACTTATGTACAGTTAGACATTAAGAAATTCTACAACATCCAGCATACCTCAGTCAGAATGCTGGGGGTTATGCACAGTTCTCCTGTCTAAACATACACAGATTGTGCCCTTATAACTTTTAGTTATAAGCAGTTTAGATATGCTATAAATTCTAAACCTAACAGGGTATATCCAGGGCTGGCTTCTGCTTTGATGGAAGAAATCTGCCAGTGGCTGTAGGATCCCCTGGAGAGCGGACTCACAGAGAAGAGGGAATTGCAGAAAATTGCTCCCACCCACACCAGTAGTAAACATCTCCTATTGAGAGAGTCACAGGATACAACCCATAGAGACAATAAAATAATCTTCCCCGACTAGCAATCATACTTATTGTCTATATTTAAATGGCTTAAAGTCTCTCAGAAAAAAAGTTCTAGCATTCCAATTAAAGTAGTTCCAAAATAAGGAATTAGTCTATTGGAATGAACTACATTTTCCCTAAGCTATTTAAACATAATGCACAGAAGCAACACACAGTCTTAATGGACAGCAGAAACTGATTCCAAACAGGGTACAAATTAAGAATTATAGTCTCTTATTCACTTGTTATTAAGCACCAAGTAACTTGACGTTAAGCACTAAACTATACACTGTACTTGCCACTATTCCTTCAAATATAAAATGACTTTAGATCATTGTCAGTCAGTTGCTGTTACCCAACTATTGTTTCCATTAATTAAAAACAAAATGCACATGGTCTCTACTCTTTTGAATACAGACTTTCAACATTCAGTGAGCACCCGTAAGAAATATGTTTCTAACCTGATGGTTAGGTTCATCAGTAGTATTCAAAATGCAAAGTTCATTCCCATTCATAGGAAAAGCACAATAATGCAGGCTACAAGCAAGCTGAACATGCGATTCTGGCACCTTGGATCTAAACACTCGTTTTTCAAGAACTATGCTGCTGCTACATCCTTCTTGAGTAAAACAGAGGTCCACAGGGCTCTCCATACCACCACTGCAAAATATACCAAATGAGTATTAATTAGAGATATAGCATCCATTATTTAAAGATATTTTGTTTCCATAGAAATCACTCTGCATGTTTTGCATCATATCAGCCCTGGAAGATTCTGCATGACTATTTAACTCTCCCAGTTGTAAAAGAAAGTCAACGTAGTAGATTGTATTTGTCCTGCTCGAGGGATCCTGTGGATAACTGGTTTGCCACTATGTGAATGGAGTGCTGGATTGGATGGACATTTGGTCTGATTCAGCATGGCTTTTTTCTTTTTCATCACTATTCAGCAGTTCCTAAGCTATTTTTACTAGTACCTATCAAACAAACAAAAACTATTTCACACATTCCAAACAGAGGGCTCCAAGCTATGTTTTATACAAAGTTTTGTACATCTGTTCTACCTCTTCCCCCTTAACAGATCACCTCTGTTAAGAAAAAAGATGGAAAAGAGAAAAATATGGTAGTATTATGATCCTGGTCCCCCTGTAAAATTCTGTAAATGACATAAAGCTTTGCCTGGATGTATCATAGGCAATGCAATGTACCCTCCTGCTCTCTAGAAGCAGTCTTCCACAACCTGATGCTTTCCAGATAGTCTGGACTTCACTTCCTACAAGTCCCAGCCAAGACACTGGATGTTGTAGTCCAAATCACCTGCAGGGCACCAGTTTGGAGAAGCTTCTGTACATACTAGAAATGCGACTGAGATATCTTGTCTCTGCTCAGTTCATGTCAGACTTACTAGCTGTAGCTGCCTTTCTCCTTGGATGCTCTAGTACCACAATAGAAACACAGAAACAGAGCGAGTCAGAAGGGGCCTCCCAGGCCATCTAGTCTGACCTCCGGCACCAGCCGGCTCTGCTCACGACATGCCCAGCATGTGGACGTCCAGCCTATCCTTGAACACCCTTTCAAGTGACTCCAGGTGACTCTTTCACCTGGAGAAGCCTGGCCTCCCCCAGTATGTGCCCAGGCTTTCTGTTTTGGCATGTACTTGCACAGGAAAGAAGACAAAGTACAGGAGGAACTAAAATCCACCCCTTCAAACTGATATGCACTTCCAATGGTACATAACACATTAAATGCTGAACACTGTAATTCTTACCATAATTATTCAAAACAAGTCCAATTAACTTTTGAGTTAAAAAGTTTAGGATCAGACTGTAAATCTCTATCTCAGACATATGCTTCTTACAAGTTCTGGTTAAAATACTGAAAAGCCTCAAAGAAAATAAAACTTTATTTTTGAGGGTTGAATGTTTGGGACTGCCACATCATCACCATGGTTGTCTGCTTGTTTTTTCTTGTGTTTTTCTTTCTGGAAAGACCATAGTCATCCAATTATACAAAACTGGATTAACATAAAAGTTGAAGTACTAGTTGTGTATTATGTTTCTGCCAACTCTTCATTTTGAAACAAAATGTGGAGAAGTTGAGCATTGTTGTCAAAGCTGATTAACTGTGAAATGAGAACTGCTGATGCTTAACCTTCTAAGAAGCAAACAGGATTGGACAGCACGAGGCTCATATGTGTTTGAACATTCCCTCATCTGTAAAAACAAATGCTGACAACAGAGGATTTATATATCAGCCTGCCAGACACATGGCAGTCTCCATACAAGAGCTTTTTTATAATTTTATGTACCCTGCTTTGCAGTGGTAACTTAACAATTAAGAATCAAGTTCTGCATTTTCACAAATACACAGTTCTGCTCATGTTAGTACTAAGCTTAGCCCTAATTATTTTTGGAAAGTCAAGACAACAAAGGTTGTCCAAGTGACTGGTGAGCTTGAAGCAAAAACATAAGTGGGAGCAGAAGAGCCTGTGGAAGAATGTCGTTTGACAGAAGGCAAGGAAATACTGCTGCTGGGTAGCTGCGACAGTTCCAGCACTCAACAGCCACAGCAGAGAGGAAAGCGTTGCTTTTTGCAACCAGACTTCCACTGGCATGCCCCAGGCCAGAGTTGTTGAATCTCTAGTTCATGAATCTAACCTGGGCAACAGAACCTTCGCCTGCAAGAATCTCCTAGCACTGGGATGAATAGTTCTTTTTCCCAGCTGCAACCAAGCAGCTTTGCACAGCAACCACTGCTCCCATGGGCATTTTGTGATATAGGGTGCAGGTCGGCCAAAAAAGTTGTAGAACTCTTAGCATGCTCCAGCCAGCGTTTTTCTGGGGCTTCCCTCCTCCGTTCAAACATGCACGCCTTTCTTTGAATGCTTAAACTCTTAAAATACATTATCTAATTCCCACTTTTCGTTTGCTAGAGGAAGATGGCTGGCAGAAAGAGGACGTCAGTACATTCAAGACATGTCAAAAAGGTTCCTTGTCGGCTCCCCAAAAGGTAAAAAGGCCCAGGCTTTGATGAACTGCAGAGCTGCTTCCGTCAGAAATGCTGCTGAGCAACAAGTACTAAAAAGGCTACGGCAAAGAATTGGGAACCGTCCCTGGCTGCATCCCCCTTTTTAAAAGGGATCCCTCGCAGCTCACTGCTGAGAAAAAGACACAGCTAGAAAACGCGGTGCTTTGTAGACCTTTCGACCGCACCTTCGCCGAGGCGAACGAAAGAGGCAGCGAAAGGGAGAGGAAGACCAGCATCCCCGCGCCGGCCTTCGCGATGAACCCTCTGAGGACGCCACACTAGCGTGCCCCTCACGGGCGCACGGGGGGCGAGGCCTTCCGTGTGACTCCGCCCACCTCTGCCAGGAGGGGCACTGAACATTCCTTCAAGGGGCGCTTAGCGGACGAGGAGGTGGGGCTTGCCTCAGAGAAGCAGGCGTTCCACGGGGCAGCGGCCAATCAGCACGGGATTGGAGCCAAGCCCTCCCTCCCGCTTAAAGAAGGGGCAAGCCCTCGTTAGTTCGCTTTACCCTTCGCGGCTGCTGCAGGGCGGTGAGACCCCGCTTTGTGCTCCGGAAAGAGCGGAGCGAGGAAGGGATGGTGCCAGTCCTTCTTCGCGGAGCGGTCGAATCCGAGGACTACCCGGTTTCCTAGGTAGCAACGACGCTACGGCAAGGCTGGGAGGTCAATTCCAGCCATCTCTTTCGCTTAGTTCCGTCTTAACTTCCGAGGGACTTATCCACGTGAACTGGGGATTAACTTGCCATACCCACAAGGCTTCAGCAACTGCCTGTCGAGCAGAAATCCAGTATGTGGACTTGAGCTTCAGGCCTCATGTGCTCTGTCTTTGAATTTCTGCCTGCCATGCAGGTGCTGTGGGCACCGATTTGAGCCTTTATCGGGAAAGGGGCGGCAATGTTGATGAGAATAATTGAATGAGCTTGGCCTGGGCTGTATAAACAGAGAACTGATGTTTAAATAGGAGCCGCTACAATATACCAAATCTGGAGACTTTTTACCCCTAATTGATGTGAGAGTTTGAAAGGTTGAGTTTGTAGGTTTGAGAATACTATAGCTATAAATACATCCTTTGCTTCTCTGTTGACCTTAGGAGCATGCAAGAGCAGCTTTGGAACAGTGCAGGCAACCCAAGTCATGAGAAGCTGTATATTTATTTATTATATTTATATCCCACCTTTTTATTTTTTGAAGAACTCAGAGCAGCTTACATCATTCTTCTCCTCCTGCTCTAAATCTTATCCTTACAGCAACAAAAACTGAGGCTGGGCTGAGAGTCTGACTGGCTCGAAGTCACCCAGTGAACTCCATGGCTGAGCAGGGACTAGAACCCAAATCACCTGAGTCCCAGACCTGCACACTTAACCTCTACACCACACTGGCGCTGGTATTTTTATTTATTTATTTATCAAAACATTTTTATGCCGCCCCATTCGCCAAAGCCTCAGGGTGGCTTACAACGTTAAGTTAAAAAAAAATTATAACATTAAATTAAAAAATACAAACATTAAGTTAAAAATGCAAAAATACCAATATAAAATAAGCCGCCCTGGCCAGATAAAATCCAATAATATTAACAAAATGCCGTTTAAATAAAAAGGTGTGTGTGTGTGTGTGTGTGTGTGTGTATATATATATATGTAAGTAGTGAACACTGGGGTAGTATTTTCTCATACTTCAACTGTGAAATGTACTCTGTTTTCCATGAGTATTGTCCACCATGTCCTAAGAGTTTTCTCAAAAGTATCTCAAAGCCCTTCAACATGTTGCACAAAAAGCAAGTCACATTCCTTTAAATGCATAAATTCCATCAATTTATTTGCAAAGTATTTTTGTTTACTTACCATATATATAGCTTTTATCTTAGCGCTCATATATTATTACATTCAGACATCATCCAAGCATGATTCTATAATATTGGGAACACATTGCTGGGCTTAATTCCCAATCCACATTCTGTCTTCCAGGATTGTGTGAATAAATTCCATTTTGCCTTACATAGTGCTGTTTGTGCTTGTTGCTTGGAAGAACCTCTTGTCTCAGTCCTCCATGGTGTTTGTGAGGGATCTATTCTATAGTCTTTGCCAGTATTTAAGAGCATGTGGAAACCAGCTAATGTTTCAAATGTAATATTCTAACTGTGACCCATGCACGCTTATCTAGCTTGGGCCTAAAATAATGAACATGAAGAGAATAATAATCTAACTATGGTAAATGAGACCAGGTTTTCTACCAACTGCTCTTGTGAATTGTGACTGGATACATTAGAGGTGTCTCTTGGCTTTTATATTGTCATACTTGTCCCAGCTTCCCCAAGTGGGGGGAATTGTAGTTGCAGCTTGGAAGTGCACAACTGCAGTCTGGAAAATGACTACTGTAGTTCTAAAGATATGGAGTGTGAAAGACGAGCTATGTCCGCTCCTATCCATTTCCCCTCCTGTCCATCTTCCTCTTCCTGCATCATACAAAATGGAGGAACCATACAAAAAGCGGAGGGGGGGGGCAGTTGCAACTACCAGACCATCTAGAGATTTTCTATGGAAACACAGACAGCATAGAAAATAAATAAATAAATAAATAGCAATTTGGCAATGCTAGAAAAGTATTAGAGATTCATGGGAATTAGGCCATTATGTGACTTCAAAGGCTCATGAAATCTTTACCCTTACGCAACAGCTTTGCATAAACTTCCAGCTTAAAATGGAAGTTAAACATATTGCCAAGTTGCATATAAGCTGTCATGTAGAGATCTGAACCACTGTGCAACAACCCACTAAATGATTTGTGTGTTTTTGGATTACTGCAGGTACTCTATGCTCTCACATAAGCAGCTGGCTTTGCTATGTGCAGCAGTTTCATATACACAAAACTTGTTTCTGCATATGAATGGCATTGACTGGCTTGGGGCAGCTATGGACTGTAAGTGCTATTGATGTCAATTTTAATTACATGCCTAAAGTAATTGGGTACACAGGGTTGGACAAAGTTATGTGAATTTAATATAAAACAGTCAGTTGTTATGTTTTTCATGTCTAAATTAATTTTCCAAGCCTGATTATCTACAAAAACTGGAATAAAAAAGAAAAGCTTTTCTAACAGAAAACACACATGCTGGAGAAAAAGCATCTAGTCTAATAGTGTAACCACTTTATATATCATCAAATAGAAACAGCATGTGGATTATAGACTTCCAAAAAAATTTTTTTAACATTGTAGGAAGAGCTCATTTTAAATCCTGTGAATCTAGCAGTGCCAATGTGCTTGCATTTGTCTGCATTTGTTTTCATTATGACATAAAAGTGTTCTGCTCTACCACCTTAGCCAGATCTACATGAGAAATAATAGTATTCCAAATCCTGGTTGTTTCCTACAGTCCAGAATGATTTAGGATCATATCTGAAGGAGCACCTCTCCAGCTATGTTATGTTTTGATCACATTTATTGGCTACCCAATAACAATAACAATGTTCTTTGAGCATCTTATGGTGTAATTCTGCCCTCTTGCTACATTTAATATTGGATTCTCTGTTAAGTATTCTACAATTTTCAGAAGTTCTGTTTTTGTGTTTCAAGATGAGGCTTGGATTGTTCAACCACCCTGCTTCTCAGTGTAATGATGGGTCCAAATGACTATTTCTGTTTGTATCGCCGTGTTTCTTTTTTCCTGTCACTAAAAAAATCCAACATCCCTTAGCTGTCTGTAGCTCTGCAGTCAAGACAACTGAAGCCAGGGGAATTTATTTATTTAGTTAAAACTTTTGTATGCCATCCCTTATGCCTTGGCATCTCAGTACGGCTCACAATACATAAAATTAAAATACAATAAAATCACATTTATAAATGGCATAATTCAACAAAAGTTTACATAAAAGACAAAATCAAAGCAACTGTTCAAAATGATTAAAATACTAATGTTTAAAATAGCAATTAAATAAAAAGGTTTTGACCTGGTGCTGAAAAAAATATAAAGAAATTAGTCCAAGGGACAGAGTTATACAGCTGTCCTCCCCCTTCTCCTGCTGCTAAGCAACCTCAACTCAGGAAAGCAGAGTAGGCAGCCCCTGTTGCATGAAAGATATATGAAAAATTGTTGCCTTGAGAAACACATTCAGTTAGCCATTGCTAATAGAAGTTGAGCATGCCTGCAGTCTGGAATGGCAAGGCCACATTATGATTAGGTAAAGCAAGTGGCCAGTAGCTTGCTGATTCGTTATTTAGAATTATATGCCCCATAAAGGTTGCTGAAGGGAGCGGGTCATTGTTCTCATGTAACGCAGGTCCTCTACCAGCTTCACTGGCTCCCAATTGAAGTTTGAGCCCAATTCAAGGTGCTGGTACTAACCTATAAAGCCCTAAATGGCTTGGGACCAAGATACCTGAAGGAACTTCTCTCGCCCTACATGTCCTCACGCCCCTTAAGGTCAGCAGGAGGCCTTGCCGGGAACCCTCTTTGGATGAGGTTTGGAGGGTATTTACTCGGAGGAGGGGCTTCTCTGCAGTGGCATCCAGACTATGAAATATGCTCCCCAGAGAGGTCCGCCTGACGCCAACTCATTCTTTTCAGTGGCAAGTGAAGACCTTTTTATTTACCCATCATTTTAATAATTAAATTAATAATTTTAACAAATCAATTATATTTTATACACTCGCATTTTCTTTTTTATGTTTCTTATTCTTCCTTTCTCTTTTATTTTGAATTTTTATCGTTGTTTGTAAAATTGCTTTTATTGGATGTTTTAATTGTGTTTTATATTATTCATTGATTTTTTTGTAAGCCATCCTGAGGCTTAGGCAAAGGATGGGTTTAGAAATGTAATTAATTAATTAATTAAAATAAAATAAAGACAAGGAGTTGGGGTACAAGAAGGAAGTGAAGTGAAGCTCCTTTGTATGACATTAGCCAAGGCATTAGCCATTACCCTGCTGCAGCTGCTTTCTCAATAAAGAACCTCTTGAATCAAGAGTGGTCAGTATGTTAGCATCCACCCTGAGGAGAATGGGATTGGGATCTTTCCTCTCAGGCAACACAAAGCAAATATTTTCACAACACTCCTTCCTCAGGAGGTTAGAGTAGTGCGTTGTGGCAGTGGTGTTGCATAATGGATGTATCCAACTCTGACAGCTGGAGGACTTCGCTTTATTAAACTAAGAGATGGGGAAAATAAGGTCTAGGGATCAAGACCCACCCTCTGGGTTTCTTCAGGTGGTCAACCAACTTTTCCGGTCAGACCTGCTTTCCTCTAACCACAATAGTTTGGTAGTTTTGTGCAGTTTCCCCCCTTTCTAAAAGCTTGAAATGCTTCTTATATGGCTTGAGCACCTTTTCCAACTGTGTTCTGTTCAGATACTACATTCTACCTTTGAGGGAGGCCCGGAAGGTGGCAACAAGGAGGAGGGCTTTCTCTGTGCCCCCCCCCCCCCCCGGAACAAGCTCCCTGTGACAGCCCACCTGGCACCACACTTGTCATCTTTTCAGCAGCAGATTAGGACATCCCTTTATGAGGAAGCCTTTTAAGACTGATTTAGCTATCCAGGGACCTGATGGGCTTACCCATACCAAGTGACTTTTCTTCTACAGGTTCATTTTTACTGCAAGTTTTAGCTATTTTAAATTGCTTTTAATGCTGCTTTGTTCATGTAATTGCATTGCATTTTACAGTTTTGTTTTCATGCATTGTTGTAAAGCACCCAGAGAGCTTTGACTAAGAGGCAGTATAAAAATGAAATAAATAATAATAAATCATTTTTCTAAGGTTAACTTATGCACAGCAAGAGCTTTAAAATACAGTTAGGCATGTTACCTTTTGATATATAGTCTCATCCATTACCTACCTAGATAAGCTTCTGTGTAATTATGATAGCAGTGTTTTCAATAGCTGATTTTTTAAAACCTGGTTTAGTCCCAGCTCCTGTGAAGCAATTATTTGTAGCTCCAAGCTCAGTGATGTGATCTATATATGAGACCTTGATAATCTAACCATAGGCTACATCTCTTGTCCATTGCTGCCTAATGTAGAGTCTTCCTCTTCCTTTAGTGCTTTTGATACTGTAAACTCCTTTGCTGCACAGTGTCCATTTGGTCGGAGTGAGCAACATTTAACTCACTGTTACTTCTGAACATACTTGTTTGAACAGGATTGCCCTGTGCAGAGAATGAAAGACAGCTGCACTTCGCTCTCTAGAATGTTATTGCTGGCAAGTCGATGTGAGCCTAACTTGGCCTCTGCAACTCCCAGTAACCTGGAAGGGCGCAGCTGACTGGACAATGCTAATCGTAATAGGGCTTTTTGCTGTCTAAACATGCATAGGATTGCACCCTACAGTAATAGTGGCACATAACAAGACATTGCTGTCTTCTCGCAGCTGCTTGGTTTCCTTTTTTCCAGGAGTAACGGGACTATTCTGCAACTTAAAAATGGAAGTCAAAAGTAGGATCCACTTGTCTATTTCAAAATAAAAAGTTCATGGCAGCCGCCGGCTGATCCGGCTTCATTATTGGCAGAGCGAAAAGCCCGCCTACCAACAAGACGCACTTCAGCGGACAGCCCCGCCCCTTTCCGCTTCTCCCCCTCTGAGCCAAAGAACCCTCGCAAGAAACAAACGGAGGGAGTGTGCCCGACATCTCGCGATACCGCAGATGAGTCACGCGGCCGGGAGTGCCCGCACCTGTGTGGGGTTCTCCTGCTGTCAGAGGCTCGGGCGGCCTCCTCGATGGTGACTGGAGGACGAGCTGCGTGGGCTGGCGCTGCGGTGAGCTTGGGCTTGGATGCGGGGGGGCGGGCGTCGTGGGCTGGGAAACCGACCGTTGGACGGTTCGCTCGGCCGCCCGTTAACTGACCCTGCGCGGCAGCGACTGGGAGACCACTGACTTCCTCCTCCTCTCTCTCTCTCTCTCTTCGGGACAGGGGAGGGGGGATATGAAGCTGAGAACAAGTTTTTTAAAAACCTGCTGGGAAAGCACGGCCTAAATGCCGCGGTTAATGCCTTCCCGTAGTTTCTCCACCGCATTAGGTGCGCTCCCCGTGGTTTTCACCCGCGTGTTTTTTTAATTATCTCTTCCACGCCCCGCCCGCCCACTGTTTTCCCCAGATTTCTAATTGGGAGGTTCAGGTCTGTGCTTGGCTGAGAGCCGTTGGGCGGGTTCTCCGTTAAGATTGGACGCCGCTTCCTAAGCAAACTGGTTGGAAGACATCTATCTTTCCTTGGAAACTGGATCTCTTTTGTGCCGTTACTGTACATCTGCAGGCTTTTGGTGCTGAAGGGTGCAGTCCTATGCATGTATAGACAGAGAAGTCGCACAACTCCCACTGTTCCCCCCGCCAGCACGCAGAGCTGATAACAACAGATTGCAGCTTTGAATGTTTTTGAAGCGGTATCGTCTCTCCCAGTGTCTGTGCTCTTAACGACCTTTTAATATTTTCCCCCGTTGCTGAGTAGAATAGGGGAGTAGCCTTTAAGTGATGCTTGCTTGTCCGTGGCAGGCACACGCAACCAAATTACTCTCTGTCCCAAGTTACTGCAGAGCTGGAGCCAGCCCTTTCTGGTTTCAGATTCTCCTCTAGGTTAAGATACTTGCAGCTTTTCTAGTATGTTTCTAGGGAAAATAGTATCGCCTTGCAACATAAGGCATGTTTGTTTATAAGTGAGGCCTACTGTTAACTCCCAGGTTAGTGTACATAGGAGTGTAGCCTTTAGAGACAAAGCTTTGCCTCTATGTGATGTTCATAGTAGCTAGGAATTCTCTGTCAGTTCTCTTAGTAAAAATGTATGCTGTTGGCTTGCTTAAGCTGAATATAAAGAGAAAAGAGGGTCTCTAGAGTCCTCATTTTCAAGAAAGCTCTTTAGCTGGTTTTGGTTTGCAGCACTATATTTGTTGTTTGAAGGAAATTAAAATTTCTAACCAGAGATGTAATACAGCATTTTCTAGGACGTTTTCACATATTCTTATGCCAAAATGTTTACAAGTCATTAATTAGATGATGCCCATGAAATGATTTGATTTTGTATCAAATGCATAATAGAGATTTCCTGTACCATACATAGCTTGTCACTTAATGCCATTGGATTTAGTTGTTACCTTTGCAGATTATCTATTATATCGGAGGACCTTTGTGAACTTAAGAGATAATGCTAGCAATTGCTAATTGCACACAACTTAGTATAGCTGTCAATTTTCTGACTTTTGTGAGAAATAATCTTACTATTTGACAGTATAACTACATGTGACAGAGCAAATTAATTTTACTATATCCAACACAGGTATGATGGCCACTTACTGCAAGATGATGCTCATAATACTGCTTATTTTTCAAGAACATCTAATAGCAAGTGCTTATAATGAAGAAGAGGATATACCTAGTGAATGGCTTCTCCTTCATGTGGTTCAAGGCCAGATTGGTGCTGGAAACTACAGCTACTTGAGGCTAAATCATGAAGGGAAGATAGTGCTTCAAATGCAGAGTTTAAAAGGTGATGCAGACTTGTATGTGTCTGATGTGACCCTTCATCCCAGTTTTGATGATTATGAATTACAATCTGTAACTTGTGGTCAAGATGTGGTTCATGTGCCAGCACACTTTCGCCGTCCAGTGGGAATAGGGATTTATGGCCATCCATCTCACTTGGAAAGTGACTTTGAAATGAAAGTGTACTATGATCGAACAGTTGTAGAATCTCCATTTGGTGGTGGCACCTACAATCCAGAAGATAGGGAGGTGACTCAGAAACAGTTTCATACAACAGAAGATGAGTCTCAGGATGAAGAATCAGTATTCTGGACTATATTGATTGGAATACTAAAATTAATACTTGAGATTCTCTTCTAGATCTATTAGCTAAACAGTTAGTCTTTGGGTGTGGACAATCTCTTAAACTGAATGAATGCTGTTTTATGAGCATCAGTACTATCTGGTATGTTCTGTGCTAGCAAGGGGGAAATAAAGCCATAACTAATTTTGTATTCTACACTTTTCCTAGAGCTACACTGTAGCATGCACTGTATTTGTACAGTTTTCCTTCAACTGGATCAGGAAAGAATGTTCTAATTCATTGTGACTTTGCATACAAGTTAATTTCTTTATAAAGATTTTGGAAATTTTAGGAATACAAATCTGCATGCAGTATTTCATCACATTTATAAACTACAGAACTTTTCTCTCCTATGAATCAACCAGGACAAAGTTCCATTTTAAAAGGCTAATAACCTCTGGAACATGAAGACTATTCAATGGTGTTATGTTTCATTATGTACTGAAAAGGAAATACTATTTCTGAAATGGGAATTAACAGCTTCCATATGGGAAAGGAACATTTCCAATGTTCACTGTTATGTATGCACAGGAAAAAAGCAGTATTCCTTACTAAAATTCTAAAGAAGTCTTGTTCATACCTGGTCTTATCACGTAATTTACAGAGGAACTTGAACTCAAAGATCAGATCCATTTCAAGAACAAGCTTCAGCAATGGAAGCACACTTAAGCAGACATTTCAAAATTCTCCTTTCAACAATTTTTTAAAGAGATACTCACTGAAGTAGTAACTTGTACCAAATTCCAGATTTTAGAGCTCTTTTTCTAGCATGCTCTTTTAAAAATTACTGTTTCTAATGTATGTAACAGCAGCCTAATCTGCTGGAGTGGACAGAGACCTAATTACTCCTATTCTTGGAGCTAGAATGAGGGTAGGGATCCCTCAGGCAAAATTGCTTCCCTTGAACAAGATAAGCTTGTTCTTTGCACACCTTTTTCTTACTGAACTCAGACTCTAACACTATATGCTTCATAGAGCAGATATTTTTCTTGTGAAGTGTTGGACATTGCCACTCTTTCTGATTAATTACCAACTAGTGACCTAACTCTTTCCTTTGAGTAAGACAGAGAACAATAGTGATTGCTATGCAATAAATAAGTCAGCTATATTTTCTATATAGAAAGGATTGCTGTGTAGCAATGAATTCATAGAATAAATCATACATTTACAAAATACAAACAGAACATTTCCCTCTGCATAGGAGTCTCAATTGTTAAGTAAAACTACTGAAACAGAATGTACCCAATAACCTTCCCCACCATACTAAAATTAAATCTTTATTTGGTGAAAAATGTTTTGAGTGGTATTTTTCCTTATACAGAGTGGTTGGTTAAATAGCACCAAGTTTAGCACTTTTTTGTTGGAAATATTGTTTTTATCCTTCCTTGCTGGTCTTTCCTCTTCTTCCTCTGCCCCTGGGTACTGGAGGTTGCCTTTCACAACAGTCACAAATCCAGCGACCTACAAAATCAGAACTATCAGTTAAAAGCAGACCGAACATCTAATATAAAAAGGCTACTACATGTGCCTTTTTGGGGTGAGTAGGTGGGATACAATGTTACTAAGGTTGCAATTCTGTGCACTCTTTGGAAATAAAATCTCACCCAATGTGGTTGCAGTTACTTCGATCAAGCATGCTTCACACTGGGCTTTTTTTCTTTTTCATGTAACTTAAAACATTTAAGGAAATTTGATGTGGGGCTGGTTCTCCTTAACTTTTTTTTCCAATGGCAAAAATTACTAGTTTTGTATAATTTTGTTCCTGAATTGTAAGAATAAAATGGCTATAGCTGCAAGTGTTCCATAAAGAGCCACCCATGTTTCACACTAGTTTCAAGCAACTAATTTTGCTTGATTTTTATCTTCTAGAGGCTCACAGTTGCTTGTGTGACAGTGACTAAAAATATATTCTGGGTATGCAATAGGTACGCAGAAGAGTTTAAGTACAGCTCAGCGGCTACACTGCAGAACACAGTGAAAATAATTTTCATCAAGAATCAGTTTTCTGTCTTGACATTTAATTGCCTGATCCCATTAGACTTATGGCATCTCAGATTGCATTTCAGATACTGATTCACATCCTATGAATTTCATATAGTTCTTTTTTAAAAACCACAGTGCTGCAAACCTCCCTGATAGTTAACAGAGCTTATCATATGTTTTCCCTCTAGCTTTTTCTTTTCAGCCTGTCACAGCCACTTCTGTCAAGTTTTGGTAAGAAAACAATTTTACCTTTTCAGTGATTTTTATGATATGCCTTAAAGGAAAGCCTAAACTGCAAACACCTTTTGTGAACAAGAACTGAGAGAGCAGTGAAGTGTTCTGATATAACTACTCTGAAGATTTCACTAAAATGGATATAAACAATGCAAAATCTATGAAATTTTCAGATGAGAACATTCTTCCAAAATGAAAGGAAGGAAACAAGATTATACTTCATTGATCTTGGATCTTAGGTCAGTCTCCGAACAAGCAACATATATAATTACCTGAGGGAATAGCACCAAGCCCAACACAAAACGTATGATAGCCACGATCACACACATCACAGAACATCATTTCTTCCTCATGGTGAGGCTCCCCACATATAATGCATGTTTTACACTCCATACATTGCCAAGGGTAGGTCTTAATTATTGCAACAAGCTCTGCAGACATATCCAGACAGGAAGGGTGGCCTAGATCAAAACCAGTATTATTACTAGAATGGTCAGGTTAAATATTTTTAACAAGAATATTAACTGTTTGATTTTACAGTACATTAGCACCCATTTCAGATATGCTATGTATTTTTTTTTAAATTGCAAAAATGTTACTTTGATTCTGCATTACAGATTTTGATCAGCTGGATATTTAGAGATATTTAAAGCAGATTCTTTTACTTACCACTGTTTTCACACTGGGAGCAGTGTATAAGTGCTTCAGCCTTCCCTTTCTTGTTGGACTCCTTACCCTTCAGACAAATTCCACATATAGCATTTGGAATGGCCCTTGGCTGGAAGGGTAGAAGAGGGCTATAAATTCATTCCAGAAGAATTGATAACAGGTTGTTTTTTTTTTTTAAATGTATCTTCTTATTTCATCTTATACAAATTAATACACATTCTGAATGGTGTAGATCAAAGGGAAATTATTAAAATTGGACACACATAGATTATAGTAAACATACTGGGAATAAAAATGAATAGACTATTTGGGCTATACATTTTAAAATAATGTGCAAACTTGAAGTGCAAGTATGTTTTACCAAACCTACGCAGCTGAAAAAAGCATGTGTATGCCCATAATTTTTGATCAAAGTGAAATAATCAAATCATACGATGAAGATGATTTTTACAAGAACAAATTGACTTATGACCTGTCTCGAGAACTCTAGAACCTGCACACAGTACGTGGAAATCAGTGACACATTTATAAGTATTTTGAAATGTATAAGTACAGTACTCAGACTTTACTCACATTGTATCTACTATGTATATAGAAAGATAGAGTATGCTAAATCTTGTATACAGAAAACTGGAAAAACATTTGAATTAAGTAGTTTATATGGTCGTGTGTTGCATTAAGGTATATCCTTGTAAAAATCTACTTATGCTGGTTTTAATAATTAAACTGTTGGCAAGGTTTTTCACAATGTAGGAATTACATTATGGCATAAAGCTTTCATTTTCTATCGAGTCAAACAAATAATCCATCTAGGCCAGTATATTTTACTGAAAGGCAAATCTTGAACCTAAACTTTGCCAAGTCTCAGGCAGAATTGTTTCCCAACACTGTGCAGTCTTACTGATCTGAAGCCTGTCTATGTCTCCCTTGATTTATACAATTAAAGCTAGTGGAGAAAGTAAACTGCAAATGCATTTAATTGTGGGGTCTGGGAATAAATCTGGTCCTGTTTATCATTCCTAGTAATTCCAGTGGGCCACAACACAACCAGCATATTTAATATAGAACTCTTAAGTGGGGGCTGCCATTATCATGTGATCCTGACCACTGATGGTTATTCATTCAAAGGTTAAATTATCCTTGTAGATTTATAAAACCAAGGGTTATGCAAGAGTTGTTTAACCCTCAAATAACTCTTGGTGGTATGGTTTGCACAACATGACAACTGCTGAATGGCAGCTGCATATTAAAAATGCCCAGATGGCTCATCATGGGTGAACAACCCCCCAATAAGCCTGTAATATCATAAACCACCTCAATATCTCATTACTGAGCAGCTTTTACATATATAGTTAATTGTGTCTTACAAACTATGGTCTGCCTGTTTTGTCCTTCTAACAACCGAATCTGAATTTCACTTTGCATAATACTGCCATATTTTGTCCCTTGTTCCTGGGTGACAGAGATGTACCTCCAATCATGAACATGGAGCTTTATTTGCACATGGCAGAAAATTAACATGAATCACTATAATTTTAAAATGCTCCAGATATTTAACCTGATTTCCAATCATGAACAAATGAAAGCTTTTTAATATAAATCAATATATTTTGAATAAACTTTGTAATATGTAGTTCAGATCACTATCTGAATTAATATGAATATTAATAAAATTCAACTTAAGGTCAAAACATATGAAACAAAATAAATTTTATTTGCAGTTTTTGTTTGAATTTAAATTTCAGTATAAAAAAATCATACATGATTCCTTAAATGAACTTTGAACTATATACAGTAGGGCAGCTGTTGATCTAATCTTTTTTGTTTGTTTTCCCTCCAGATCTGAATTTTTAAAAAGCCAAAAATGACATTTTTCTGGATAATGCATCATTTAAACTGCAGTCTTCTGTCAATAACACACAATGAGCTTTTGTGTCTTATATTTCAACAGGGTAGATATTAATATTAGCCCTTCCATAAGTCAGAGATAGTTTGCAAGGTTATTCTTTTATTTATATTTTGCCTTTTTTTTCCTTCCAAGGAATTCAGTGAGGCTTATACAAGTCTCCTCCTGTCAATCTTATTCTCACAACAACAACAACCCTGTGAGGTATGTTGAGCTGAGAGTCTGTGACCAGCCAAAATCACACAGTGAGCTCCATGACTGAGTGGGGACTGGAACCCAGATCTCCTGAGTCCCAGTCCCATGCTCTTAACCACTATACCGCATGGCTTTTTTTTCCTTCTTCCTGCAGCTACATACAAATCAATGTCTGCTGGCTTTAAGAAATATTTCAGAAGTGCTGTTTAAAACAAACTGAAAGCTCTCCAAAGAAGGACAACAAAGATGGTGAGGAGCTAGGAGAACAAGTCCTATGAGAAAAGTTGAAGGAGTTGGGTGTGTATAGCCTGGAGAAAGACAATTAAGAGGCAATATCATGATAGCCATCTTCAATTATCTAATGAGATATGCATAGGTGATGGAGCAAGTTTGTTTTATGTTACATGAAATGGCTACACCATCTAGGTCCAAATTACAAGAAAGGAGATTTTGACTAAACATTGGGAAGAACTTCTTGGTGGCACAAGCTGCTCAACAGTGGAACAGAACGACTTAGAAGGTGCTGAAGTTTTTAAGCAGAGGCTGGGTAGCTATTGATTAGGGGTGCTATAGCAGCAGATTGCCTCCATCAACAGCAAACTGGACTAGATGTCCTTTGAGGATCCTTCCAACTCCTTGGTATCTATACCTTAGAGACTCTTCTCATGTTACGCTGGCACCATGATAGGTGTGAGGCTGCCTGCTTGTTATCAGAATAGCTATACATTACAGGGTAGCATAGACTATAATACATAAGAGTTTTTCTTTTTGTAGAAGTGTCACTGATTAACAAAGCAAGAACCAAAACATCTGAACATACCCATACTGAGAATGAGAAGTGTGAGCAAGACAGAACTTTGCTTAAGCCAGTGAGGAAATGAGAAACATATCTAAACAAATGTGAAATGATCTCAATGGACCCCAAAATACCCAGACAGTGAAAAGCAAATGGCTAAACTATTCAATACATGTCTCTGTCAGGAACATTTTAATAAAGCTGACAGATGCAGAATTGATTTGAAATGTTCTGATTACTGTTAAGGAATCAATGGTGTTGATCTATAAAACCACATTTACCAAATGGAGACAACATAGTTCTTTTGAACTCAAATGCTATCAAGTAAAACTAAGTGGAAACAAAAATAAATGATTTTAAAACATTCCATCTAATGATGCTATTTAAGCTTG